AAGATTTCTTTTCCTCACTTAGTCGCCTTAAAAACTTGCACCCTAGATTAGAGCCCTAAAACCCAAAAGGCCCTGAACATAACCAACACTGAACATAAAAATTGAATCGATTAGACTTTTTGCCCTGTACGCATGGATTAAATATAAAATTTGATAATCAATTTTAGGCACAACCTACCCCCTTGACCTATAATTTAAAAACTAGAGGTACTGTGAGCACTAAGCTCACTAAATGATACCCCCGGCATCCCATATGATTATAATAACAAAGTCTTTTTTTGCTCCGAGAGACCCCAAATAAGTGTCAGATCAAAAAGTATAATAGAAGGTGCACAAGGAAGCAGAATTTGTGCTAAATGTTATTAAATTCAACTCAACATTTAAATATATCGACGACGTGTACATGTATTGTCAATTAACATTGGTAAGAAGACGGTATGGTTTTAGCTTTATCATGCCCTAAAAATTAAAAGTTTTCATAAAGTTTTGAAACTGGCTTAAATATTAGTCGAGTTAATGACTATGATAGACCAGGAAAGAATATGACATAAAAGAGTACCATTCTGAAAATATGACGTCATCAATTTGAAGCATTTCTCTGTTTTACTCAGAAAAAGTCTCAAAATGATCCATTTCAAGGGTAATTTTTCTTCAGAAAATAGTGTTCACAGCCGTCGCCTACTTTCAATTTTGGATATATGTGTAAAATTCAATAAAATATCACATATCTTGAAGGCGATGCCTGTGGACAATATCATCTGAAAGAAAATTCCATTGAAAATTGTTGTCTTCTGCTACTTTTTAAGAAAATACGCGAAAATGCAAATGTTTATGACGTCACAATTAGCATTTATAAATGCATGTGAGAAAAGCTATTTGTATGATATTTCTCCATGGAATTTCAATGATTTAGAAAGCATGAGTTTTCATCTTTTACTTAAGTTTCATTTTTACGAAAACCACAGGGCAAGGTTTGTATTGAAACCATACCTTGCGCTTTCCATTCCTTTGTCGATATGATATACCCTGTGAGCTTGAGATAAAAGATACCACAGAGTCTGACACATCTATTTCGTACTTGGATATTTTACTTGAAAAAGACTAATGGTAATCGAACAACCAAGCTCTTTGATAAACGTGATGACTTTAACTTTTCCCTCGTCAACTTCCCTTACTTATGCAGCAATATACCTTCATCACCTGCATACGGCGTTTATATATCCAGTTGATTCGATACGCAAGAGCATGCTTTACGTATGGACAATTTCTAAAACGAAGTCAATTATTGACAAATAAGTTTAAGAAACAAGAATATCAGCAGTCTCGTTTAAAATCTTCATTTCGTAAGTTTTTTGGTCGATACAATGACCTTGTCAGCAAATACAATTTATCATTGAGTTAAATGCTGACTGACGTTTTTCATACTAATTGTTAGTCCATTATTTATACACTGAATTGACGACGGATTTTTTCCGTTATTTCCCTACCATGACAAGGAGCACACGGCGGATGTGACCGGTCAGCAGGGGATCCTTACTCCTCCATGGCACCTGATCCCACCTGTGATGTTTTAGTGGTCCGTGTTTGCTCTGCTCCTATTTTGTATTGTTTTATGGACTTTGATATTGAATACTGTTCGTTATCTCCATATCTTTCAATAAAGAACCTGTGAAAGTATCAGTAAATTTTATTCAGCGGTATAGAAGGAGTTGCGGATAAGAGATGAGAACCCTTCAATATTATAGTAGTGTTTATGTTTGCAATGGGAACCCGGAATATGTGTCTGATCGAAAAGTAAAATAGGAGATAAACAATGGCACAATGTAACAAAGATTATGTGAAAATCATTTTAAATTTCAATCAGTGGTAAAAGAGGAGTTGCGAATAAGAGATGGATAACCAATGTGTGAGAGATGGACAGACGGACGGACAGACAGACAGACGAAGACAGATGAACGGATGTACAGCTAGACGGGCATCCCGATCACTATAAAATACCCTCCCACTTTACAAGAAAGGGAGGTATAAAAAAAACTTTATATATCTTGGGATTGCATGTACTGTATATCAATTAATATGAGTTAGTATGGTCAAATGGCAAACTTTTATCCATGCACTATTGTGACCCATTGCACCCCATCCTCAAGGGCCATGATTTGAACAATTTGATTAATTGTCATCTTTCGGACCGATTGGTTATATATGGAGAAGATTTTAAAAGATACATGAATTTTCTTATATACTTTGATCCCCTATATCAGGGGTCCATAATGTAAACAATTTATAACTTGCACTACCCGAGGATGCTTTTTAAAATCCCTAAAACATGGCCCTGCTGAGGAGAAGGTATTTCCCTACACATTTCCCCTGGTAAACTATGAACCTTTGTTGTGGTACCACCCTATCATGCGGGGCTATTAGTTAAACTTGAGAATCTACACATTATGTTTGTCATTTTTTTTTATTTTGGCATATCGTGACCCCACAAGATATCCCGAAGGCCACGATATCAACAATTTAGAATCTACATCGATATACTAGTATATCATGTCGGGTCACCGTATCCTCAAGGGCTAATAGATTTGAACAATTTATAATCTACCGCATTAAATTATATGCTTTTTTGCATAGTGATTCTTACCGTTTGCAGACGGACAAACAGCTAGACAGAAAGATGGACAGAAAGACCACAGGCACTTGGGAAATGGACCCCCCATTTTTCAATTTTTTTTCTTTTTAAATCTGGGTTCGAGTCACCTTATTCCTATTTTTCTATTCTAATATGCACTATTATGTTATTAATAATGTAACTCTTTTATCTCTATAAGCTGTTTTTAAATATATCATTTTCGACTGATACATAATAATTAAGAGAGATCTCTTTTTATGTATCAGAGGAAAACGATGTATTTAAAAACAGCTTATAGAGACAAAAGAGTTACATTATTGATAACATAATAGTGCATATTAGAAAAGAAAAATAGGAAAAAGGTGTCTCGAACACAGATTTAAAAAGAAAAAAAATGGAAAGGGGGGGTCCATATCACAAGTGCCTGTGAGAAAGACAACCGGTGATCAGAAAAGGTTGTGGACAACATAACTTGGTACCGATTACACCTCTAGAGAAAGAGGGATAACTCTTGATGAATATCATTGTTCTGAGGAGAGGTAACCTCTTCCAGACTCGCAGCCACTCCCCTTCTCCAGAAACCTCGCGACGGCCTTGATATTTTTACCGAACTGAATGTATATAGACACTTCTAAATTATTTTTCTGGCTTTATGTTAAGGTATTTAAATTATTTTCCTTCTGTCTTATTGCCTAATTTCCGTTGTTTTCATACTTAAAAGTTTTGAAAAGGGAACAAAATTAGTTCATTGTTTAAAAAAGAAACAAAAGTATTTTCCATTATTATTCAGTTTTTTATCTATGATAACATCAGGTACATATAACTGGTAAAAAAAAAGAACTTTGAAAAGATACACAAATAAACTCTTCGATAGTTTAATTCTAAAATTTAGGTCAGGTTTCTTCTTATGGAAGAAGAGGAATATGCCACTTGACACAAATATATTCTTTTAAAAAAATATAAGGATCGGTGTTAGAAAGGTCGACCACTTTAGTGAAAATCTCCATTATAGTGGTGTAAGTGCCCCGAATTGCAGTTCTTACCCATGTGCATAAATACTTGTACTTCTTTGATAAAGTATAAAGTTCATTTTTCTATACTGCTGTTTATCCCTCTGTGTCACTAATCCTGATTAATAAATTGTCATTTTGTCAATTTTTTAAAACCAATTTTCCCGTGATGAGGAGTGTTTTTATACATTTTATCTTCATATTCCACACGACAATCTGCCTGGTACCAAGAGGTAAGGAATTTTACATTTATTGCTAATTTATTTATCATACCCCCCGCTTGAAAAGTGGGAGGGTATATAGAAATCGGTATTTCCGTCCGTCCGTCCGTCTGTCCGTCCGTCTGTACGTCCGTCCGTCTGTTACGCTTTGGGGTACCTATCTCTTATCCTCAACTCTTATACCACTGAAGGAAATTAAATTTAATGAAACTTTCACAGATTCTTTATTACATATTGCCATTGTGCACCTCTTATTTTACTTCTTGATCTGACATATATTTTTGATTTTCCAGAGCAAAACATGGACACTGCCATTATATTCATATGGGAGGCGGGGGGTATCATTTAGTGAGCTCATTGCTCACAGTACCTCTAGTTTATTTATTTATTTATTTATGTATAATTGATTTGATGCGTAAATGCATGTACGGATCAGCTATCAAATTATTCAACTTGATCATGTAGATGCAAACCTAAAATACTGTCGGATCAAAGAATAAAATAGGAGGTGCACAATGGCATTATGTAATAAAGATTCTGTGAAAGTTTCATTAAATTTCACTCAGTGGTATAAGAGGAGTTGCGGATAAGAGATGGGTACCCTAAAGCGTAACAGACGGACGGACGGACGGAAATAACGATTACTATATACCCTCCCGCTTTTCAAGCGGGGGGTATAAAAAAGGTTTAAAAAACTCTAATCTAGAAATGTTAAAAAGAAAACAAACACATAGGCATTGTCATTATGTAAATGAAGTTTGCTGATTTAGCAAACTGAACATACCCAAAAATCGTAAACATGAGTAATAACAGCGCCCGTGCCAATGTTTATAAACATAGGTGTTTTTTTTAAACAAATGTTCAGAAGAATGTTGTCATTGGGCTTGAAGAAATAAGCGATTATAATCAAAATCGGCAATGCAGTTGAGTCCAGTCTCCTTTAATGGAAAGCAGACCGGCAACATTTTATGGGGAGCATACTGGACAAAAAACCCTCGGTTTTTACAAAAAAGAAAATAACTAAAAAATATATTTAATTTATTTCATTTTTATTTTAGATTTTTTTTTATATAAAGCAGTGCTTATTGTAAATTTATCCAATTCAAGTGCAAGTTTTAGAAGATATTTTGTTCCTTACAGCTCAGACTGGACAAGTTGTATGTGAAGATAAGCAGTTCAAATGTATGAGACGATGTATCCATGTAAGCTGGAGATGTGATGGAGACTATGATTGTGTAGACGAAGATGATAAATCAGACGAAGAAAATTGTCGTGAGTATATTGCTTCTGGAGGAGTATAAAACAAAAATTAAAATTTGTGGTTTTGATTATTCTTCTACAAGACAATAAAATTTTTCCGGTCTAGCTTTTGGGTGAACTATTGTAGAAATGTTGTATTCTGTCTCTTTTTGATGTGGAACAGCGATAAAGGGAAAGGAGATAGGGGAGGAGGTATTAAAATTGTGCATGAAATTCAAATCCTACAGTCTGAACTTACAAACATTGACAATTTTCCATCCGATTTTTTTCTGAGTAGTAAATAAGTTCCTCTATTGAAAACTATAAAAATATTGATAATTATTTAAAAGATAACCTTCACCTCCACCTTTACCTTGAGTTCAATGAATGTCGTTGTGGCACCTATGAAGACGTACCCATTACTTTCATCCACTTTTACAGATATTTCCTATATATTCATGTGTATTTCAATGTAACACTTTGTTACCCTGCTCTGGGCCATCCTACCTCCAATATTCATGATTTGAACAAATTTGAATCAATACTACCTTAGAATGCTACTGAATTGATATGAACAATGATCTTCGGCTCAGGTGAGCTCAAAATATAAGGATTGGTGTAAGAAATCGGACCATTTAGTAAATTTTGCCATTATTTTGTAGTAGGTCCTATTATTGCAGAACTAATTAACCCTATTTGCATTAATGTTTTTATTTACTCACAGTACTTGGCACGTGAAACTTCATTTCTCTGCTCTGCTGATTTTTTTTCGTTGTAACTACGCGCATCAAATGAATTGATGATATCTTTATAACTTTATAAGTAATCAAATCTTTTGGCGATATATTGACGGCAAATGCCTATGCATTTACATATGTACACGAATCAGATTTATCAATTCATTCAACTTGATGCAATTTTATACCCCAGCTTTAAAAGCGGGGGAGGGGGAAGGTATAACGATCGAGATGTTCGTCTCTACGTTTATCCTTCTTCCCGTCTGTCAATACGTCCGTCCGCCAGTTACGCTTTGGGGTACTCATCTCTTATCCGCAACTTTTCTTATACCACTGAAAGAAATTTAATGAGACATTCACAGAATATTTCCTACATACTAGTAGTGACCTTCGATTTTACTTTTTGATAGGACACATATATTGGGTTTCCCATAGCAAAACAAGGACACTGCCATTCTTTCTATGTTATCGAAGGGTGCCTATCTCTTATCCGCGACACGGGGTATCACCTAGTGAGCTCAGTGCTATCAGAATCTCTAGTATTAGATTAAGATCAAAGCGATTTCTTTTTTTAGGTGCAAATGGTATATTTTCGACACAAAATTGGAAGAACGGGGAAGTAAAATGTCATCGATACTTTAATTTTATTTTTTCCCCTTTAATGGAAGTTCAGCTTCTTGAAGTAATTTAAAAATGAAAACAAAAAATATCTAATTAGAGCCAATCAACGCGTTTGTAGCAAAAATGTAAAACCCGTAAGCCGTTTTCTTATTGGAATATTTTCCCTGTATCTTTTCCCGTGAATTTCAAATCCTTTGAAAGATAATTTAATTTGTTTTATCTTATAAAAAAAAATTGAGACATCATCAGACATGAGTTATATGATCTAGTCACTTTTATGATATGATTAAAAAATTCTTTCAGTGAATGCATACTGCTGTAAATACATCGGACTGAGCAATCCAAAAGCTTAAAATTTTCTTCGTAAAAAAGAAAAACTGTTAGAGATATGTCTCCCACTTGATTCGATACGTAGAAATATGCTTTACTTTACGTAAGAACAATTTTAGAAAGGAGGAAAGCTGTTGACAAAGAAGTCAAAACAAGGAACATGGACACCAACAGTCTCGAACATTGCGCAAATTTTATAGTTAATACAATGACCTTCTCAGCAAATAAAATTAACATTAAGACTGACGTTTTCCTTAAAAAATATATATATATATATAATTTCATATATATATATATATATATATATATATATATATATATATATATATCATATATAAGGAGCACACGGCGGCTGTGGCTGGTCGACAGAGAATTCTTACTCCTCCATGGCACCTGGCCCCATCTGCTCTTAGACGTCATAATTGCTCTACGCTCTATTTGTATTGCTTCAATAGACTTTTTAGCTTAATCACTGTTCGTTATCATTATACATAACTTCATCTTAGGTCACTTTACCATGAGTCACTTTAGCATCTAATTAAAATCAACTTCAGAGTACTTGTGTGTAGCATCAGAATTATTTTTGATAAAGTAACTTTTTCAGATATGATTTTTTTTAGGTATGTTTTTCTCACAAAAGCAGTTATTCAAAATGTTTGAAATATCGTGAGGAAAGCTTTATAAAGAGTGGAAAGTTTTACGTTTGATGCTATTGATTTTTGAAATATTTCCGGTTGTAATTCATTCCTAAAAGCCCTGCACTTATTATATTTGATACGCTTTCTTAATTTATTGTCTGTAAAATTGAAATGTAGCTCCTAAGACGTGTCCAGAAGATGAATTTACATGTAGGTCTGGTCAATGTGTGCCAATAAGATGGGCTTGTGACAATGAAAGAGATTGTCTTGATGGATCTGATGAAACTGGCATTTGCAGTAAGTTAATATCTTGTATATTCCTTTTTTTATTTTGAATTAGAATTATTTTACCTGTGCATTGATCAGAATGTTTTAGTCTATGGTTTTTTCCATTGAAAAATGTTCCATTTTGATAAGTCATGCTTATTTTCAGAGAATAAAACGTGTTATCTAGACGAGTTTAGTTGTGGAAATGGAGCGTGTATACTAGCTAGCTGGCGTTGTGATGGTTCCCCGGACTGTTCTAATGGTGAGGATGAGACATGTGACTCTCCTTCCTGTGCTAGCGGTGAATTCAGATGTGACAACTCCAAGTGTGTTAACAACAAATGGAAGTGTGATGGAGATGATGACTGCGGTGACAACAGCGATGAAAAACAATGCCGTATGTATTTTTTCATCAAATCTTGTTACAATTACAGAATGTGTATAAATTGATACAAGTAAATGATTTACTGGCTTACGCAAGTTATGCATTTTTTCTTTGACAGCTACAAGGTTTACTCCCTTACGAACAACCAAAGGAAAAATTTTAATTTAAAGATATTTTTCAAGTTTTCACAGGGGGGGGGGGGGGGGGGGGGTTCGTAGATCTACTTCTGCTCAAAAACGAATTGCAGGATAGGATTTTGAACAAATTGTTTCTCTCTGATATTAGCCTGTAGGCTCTAATTAACTGTCAGTCGAAACTACAATATTTGTTTTCAGAATTTTTCTGTCAGAAGTGTTAAGAATTAAATTTCCCGCGCTTGCGCCGAATTTAATTTAGTTTATTACGAATGAAGGACAGACCCCCTCCATAACAAAAACAAAAAGTATATGAGAAATTTTAATTTTTTCAGCTCCACCAGTGAGTCACTGTCCAGCTGACAGATTTGACTGCTACAAAAACGGGTTTTTATGTATTGAAGCCAGCAAGCTCTGTGACAAGAGAAAGGATTGTGAAAACTTTGCTGACGAAGACAGCACACTTTGTGAAAGTAAGCATATATTACATGTATCAATTAATTTTACTTATCTGTCTCCGCCATACTTTCATTCATCATCTGTTAAAGCATCCATATAGAATTACTACTGAGAATAATCAGACTATTTTATAAGTTCTTTATATACATAAAGCCGAAAGTTGTGTTTTAGTTTACATAACTTCAAAAAATTTCCGGCTGAAAGGAAATGTGATTTTAGGCTGATTTGTTTCAAAACATTCTTCACACCTAAGGAAGATCTAATGAACATCTGCTGAATGAAAGTCCATTGAAACAAAACAAATCGGGAGCAGAGCAAACACGGACCTCCTTAACATCAAAGGGGAATCAGCTGCCATGGAGTAGATGGCATCCCTTGTTTCACACCCTCTGTATGCCCCTTGTCACGATTTGCAAACAGAAGAAAATCCGTAAACAATTCAGTGTGTAAATATTGGTCTAACAATTGTAATGAAAAACAGTCAGCTTTCTTCATTATGTTATAGATTGTACTTGCTGATTAGGTCAATGTATCGATCATACAACTTGCGAAATGTAATTAAAAACTGTTAATGTTATTTTTATCAACTTGTTTTTTAGCTGCGATTTTAAAATGATTTAAAGAAGCTATTACAAATAAAACGCAATTAATTTTTTACGACATGTTAAATTTTGCTACACAAGCAAAGAGAATAATGCCAAAAAAAAGTTATCACATTTATCACAAAGTTTTGTTGTTAGATTACCATTAACGTCACTTGAAAAATTGCAAATATGAAACAGCTATTCAACGACAATACTGTTTGTGGTTTTTTATTCATTTCAACGTTTTGAGATATAGCTGACAAATGTTTATATAAAATGTAATTAAAGCTACAGCAAGTGTTTTCTTCTCGTGTACAAGTTTTTGAATAAATTCTGCTTCATATGATTACAAAAATAGGTCTGCAAATAACAGGTTTACATTGATACACTGGGAATGGGCGAAATGAAATTCTGAAAGATTGTTGGAAGACCTAATCATGAAAAATTACAATGATATTTCAATTAGAAACTCAAGCATCTTTTAAATATTATTTTGGGTTACTTTTTGTGCAATCAGAAGTTTTTTAGCAAAATAATTTTGCAAATGACCAATGACAAGGTAAGTATATACGAGTTTCATTTTTATAATATGAGCAGCTACATTCTATGACATTTTACTTTATTTTAAGTGAGGAATGGTTTCATAAAGTGTTGAAAAGTCAATTTTTGATGTCATTGATTTTGGTAAATTTTATGATTTCCTATTTACAGTACAAAGAACAACCTTTAGTGTTTTTCTCTCGTAAGTACAGGTTTTACAAACAGAATTTTTTCTACTTCTCATGGTGAGATTTATTATAAACAAAAGATTCATCTTGTGCTATGTCGCCATGCTTTTAACAGTGACCACTTTTTCCTTCTCTCTGATGTGTATACAGTAAGCACATGTAAGATAATCCCTGCCACATTTTTGCAAAATTTATATGCATATTTACAGAACGCTACAATATATGATTAATAACAAATAGTCCGTAATCAGAAATTTATATTTGATGCTATTTAATCAGAATATTGTGATATCTGAAGAGAAATACATGAATATTTCATTGATTTGAATAACTTTTAAATCATGATTTAACCACAGCCAAGTTACAAACCTAAAGGTATAACTTAAAAACCTGTAGTAACATCCAAAAGTCCAGGTTACATTTCTATCAGCGCCTTTGTGAAAAACCACAATAAAAATATGACAGGCCACAAGAAACAATGAAGTCTTCCATTTATTTTTAAGAAGAATAGATTTAGAAGATCTTTTTAAATATTTTTGTTGTTGTGTGTGGAATCAACACACACTGATCATGACAAAAGTACAGCGGGTGACATTTCTATCAAGTTGCTTCTCCTCTGGCAGAGATTTTTTTGGAAGTCCTTGTTTGCTCTGCTCCCAATTTGTATTATAGAATTTGACTTTTGAATCACTATTCGTTATCTCCATATTTCATGATAATAGATTTATAGACCTAATATATGACTAGTTCGTCTTTACGTGTATCAGTAACAGTTTAACAAGATATTAAATATTTATGCATGAACCATTTCCTATTCACAGCACAAAGAACAACCTCAAGTACATTAACAACTCCTCCATCTAAGACAGGCTTCCCTAATAATACCGGTACAAACAGAAATTCTTTTAGTTTTCTTGGTGAGATTTGTGATAAACAAATGATAGAGAATTATTTGAACAAGTGAAAAGGACCATAAGTCAAAGTAATTATTCAAATTTCGAATAGAAATTGCTTCATTTTGAGTTTTGTTTCTTTTTAAGCTGTGCTTTTTAACAATTTCACCTCTTCTTCTTCTTCTTCTTCTATACTGCATATATATATAGTATAGTCACTTCCTGATAATATAGAGAGTGCCATATAACAGCAAATTTTATATGCATGTGCACTTCAAAAGCTTCAAAATGAATAATTAAAAGTATTATTCCCATTGAAGTTAAATCGGTTAATTGAGCTAAAATCTATCAGCGTTTTTTTTCCACCGAATATAACCTTCAGTCCTAGCTTACGTGAAAGCTATGATCTCACAGCCTCCATGAAGATATTTTCAGCAGTCAACGTGTGTAAAATTTAAAAAGTAAGATTTGATCATTTTATTATCATGGTCGTTTCATATACATTGTAATGTAACTTCCTCAACATTTAAAGTAATGCTCTACCCTCCGATAGTACTTACATAATTCTTTAATTGGTTTTTCATGACACTTTATCTTCGATGCAAGAACAGAGAATTCCAAAAAGGAAGGTGATGATACAGCATTTAGCTAAGCAGATAAGATTCAGCCTTAGGACAACGAGGACCCTGTCCCGCGACCAGAAAGTCACAGTTGGCATCAAGTGACGAGGAACAAAGTCCGGCATACTTCAAGAATACCCAGATAAAACAGTCCATGGAAGTCATTCCATGATTTCCTTACAGATGAAACCAATGTTTACTCGTTTACTCATCCACTTAAGAATAACGGATCCAAGTTATGAATATTTAAAGTAGTGTATTGGCCTAATATCAATTAATCACTCATATAATTTATACAATCATTAATTTCAATTTTTAGGAGAAAATTTATCTATATCTAGTGCTAATCATTTTCACCCAGTTTTTAACAAGCTTTGTATATAACGGTGTGATCCATGGCGATTATTTCCACTGGTTACCTTGGTTTTGTTTTTCAACTTTATCAGTCAAATTCTTGGCATTTGTTGAGTGGCACAACATTTCCCTTTTTATTGAGAAAAATATTATAACGCCTTCATTATTTCTGCATTCTATGTGTAATAAAGTGTAACTGTGGTCTTTTAGTTTTTGTTAATGTAGACATGTATTTTGGATTTTTGCTTAATTATCTTACCTATTTCGTTATATATTCTAAGTTGACTTACAATGATTAAAATATAATGAAATAATAAAATAATATTCTGCAGAAGAACAACTTAAGTACAGATTCATATCATGTGAAGGTTTTTTGGATTTCAAAATGTTCCTGTTACATTTTGCATTTATCATTCTTAGAATTTCTAGAAAGGAAATAATACGCCATCGTCTTTTTTAAAGGATACAAGCATGCAAAAATGTTTTTATTATGCATCGGTTTTTATTAGATTTATTTGTATTTCGCAATTACATGCGATATCACCAGACATATGTAGTAGGTAAAGAGTTATAAATAAACCCTCTGCAATGACTACGAATAGTTTTCAGTGAAGAAACGAATGTCACATGAAACTTCTTACGAATATAAGGATCGGTGTTAGAAGGGACCCACTTAATGAAAATCTCCATTATTATGGTGTCATAAGTGCACTACTCACCATTCAGAATACTGTATATAATTGATAACTTTATTACTCACTAGTTTTCTAGGTTTTAACTTTTTACGATGGGGAATATGTTAGAATTGTTGATTCTAATTATCTTTATCACTATAAGCCAGTTACCTGAAGGTAAGATAATTTACATCATTTACCTAACATTTGCGAATACTAAATGCAAGAAAATAAACATCATCTAAAGTTATTACTTTTTTAAGGACTAAAAAAGCTGGTATAATCATTTATTTCAGCTGAGCCTGAGACGCAACTTTCATGTAAAGAGAATGAGTTTAAATGTATGAGAGGTTGTATTCCTGTAAACTGGAGATGTGATGGAGAATCTGATTGTCCAGGCCCCGGTGATCAATCAGACGAGGAAAACTGCCGTAAGTTCACTAATCCAATATAAAGAACTTGTTTGTATTCAACCTAGTCTCGCAGAAAAGAGACGTGAACGTTTGTTATACATCGGGTGTTTTAAGATAATATTATTTAGCTAACCTGAGCCAAAGACCTTAGAACATGCAAAATTTTGGGTTTAACTAGACTCTTGATATCTTACTGTTATCAGCATGTTTGTCAATAGTTTGCCTCGTTTTCAAAATTGTTCATAGGTAGAGCAAGCTCTTCCTTATCGAATCAACTGAGAGTCATAAAATACAGCTGGTAAGGGTATATTGTTACGTAAATAAGGGAAGTTGAAATGATCACATATATCATTAGATTTTGTTGTTATGCTACCAGTAGCGTTTTTTGATAGTAAAATGTTCGAATATGCGTGTGTCAATTTCTGTAGCATCTTATATTAAAGTTCTCTGGGATATATCGAGTGCATGGAAATACAATGTCTGAAAAAAGTACTTGATGATACGCCGCCGCTATATTTAATTGCAAACAAGGTCACAAGTGTTTTCTTTTTTTCATGTACCCTTTTTGGAATAATTTCTCTTCATGTAAATACAAAAACAGGTTTGCTAGCATTTAGTACTAATGGAACGTCCACGACACATGTGGTTTACAGAATTTCTGCAAAAATTACACAATGTTTTCAATCAAAATTTCTGGTATCTTGTGTAGCAACTTAGGATTACTTGTATGTCCGATCAGAATGTTTTTTAAAAAAATAAATCTACAAATGATCAATGACTAGGTAAATGAATTTACGAGTTAAGTTTTCGTTTAAAAAAAAGCATCTTTAAAAGTATTCGTCATTAAAATTCACCATATAATTATTTATGAAATTATAATATGTATTGAAAAAACGGGTTTTTCCAAACTTTGTTTCTCTTAGATATATGTAAATTATTTAATGTCCTCATTATTAACTATTACGTTGCTAGTAATGATGTCATCAGCAGAACTATAGTTGCAAATACGAATGATTTTTCTTACCTCTTGAATTCCCCTGATTCGTACTTTCTACGATATTATTTTGTCTATCTAATTTAATTAGAACATACCCTTAATTTGAATTTTCAGCAAGTAAGAAGGCATGTTCAGATAAGGAGTTCACATGTACCTCGGGTCAGTGTATTCCGACAAGGTGGACCTGTGACAAAGAACCCGACTGTCCTGATGGTTCTGACGAAACAGATGTCTGTAGTATGTATTTAAGTTTTATTCCGTTCTTACTAAAAGATTTCGAAACACTTTATTTTTACTTAAAAGGAAAGTTACAATAATGTTTTTTTTTCAGAAAATAAAACCTGTGCTAACGACCAGTTCAGTTGTGGAAATGGAAAGTGTATTCCAGCTAGCTGGCGTTGTGATGGTTCACCCGACTGTTCGAATGGTGAGGATGAGACGTGTGATTCCCCTACCTGTGCTAGCGATGAATTCAGATGTGACAACTCCAAGTGTGTAAAAAACAAATGGAAGTGTGATGGAGACGATGACTGCGGTGACAACAGTGATGAAAAACAATGTCGTATGTATGCGAGTGATCGGTCGATCAAAGTTTATTCCATCTAAGATGTCCAGCAACGGACTGCTTTGTTTTCTATAAACATGGTTATTTTTGCCCCGTGTTATTTTCGCCCTCTTGAACTGTGAACAATTTTGCGCCGTTTTAAATTCGCCCATTCATAGTTCTGTTTAAGAAATTATTAGGTGTAATTTGAATTTGCCCCGTTTAAAATTCGCCCAAACAAGGAGAGGGCGAAAGGGGCGAAAATAAAACGGGGGCGAAAATTCCCCTGTATACAGTATTATGTGTTGACATCTACGTGTGCATGTAAAATTATAACATCTTATGTACTGAATGGATTCTTTTAAATCCATACAATTTAATACATTTACATGGCTTAGGTACTTTTTTTCACTTTTTAAACAGGAGTTAATTTGTTTTAGCCTTTCTTTTTTATTTAATAGGTTGTGTATATTTTTAATGTTTCATATTTTATTCTTTTGCAGCAAATGTAACGCTGTGTACTGCTGCTCAGTTCCAGTGTTCGGACAAGCAGTGCATTGAACTGTCCTGGAAATGTGACGGCGATCCTGATTGTAAAGACCAAAGTGATGAAGCAGACTGCACACCTGTAAAAGTGAAAAAGTGTTCATTGGAAACTGAATGGGAGTGCCACATCGGTGAATGCATCCACAAATCATGGAAATGTGATGGGGTTGAAGACTGTTCAGATGGATCAGATGAGTTAAATTGTTAGTGTCTATTGTCTCTGGTCTTAAAGGAGAAGGAACAATGAGATGGATAAGGAGATAACGAACAGTATTCAATATCAAAGTCCATAAAGCAATACAAAATAGGAGCAGGGCAAACACTGACCTCCGAAAAATTAGAGGTTGTATCAGGTGTCATGGAGGAGTTAGCATCCCCTGCTGACCGGTCACACCCGCCGTTTGCTCCTTGTTATGATCGGGAAATAACGGAAAAATCTGTCGTCAATTCAGTGTATAAATAATGGACTAACAGTTAGTATGAAAAACGTCCGTCAGCATTTGACTCAATGATAAAGCGTATTTGCTGACAAGGTCATTGTATCGACCATAGAACTTACGGAATGATGACTTTCAAAGAGACTGTTGATATTCTTGTTTCACCAACTTGCTTGTCAATAATTTACCTCGTTTTAGAAATTGTTCGTACGTAGAGCATGCTCTTGCGCATCGAATCAACTGAGATATATATATATACTCCGTATGCAGCTGATGAAAGTATATTGCTGCATAAGTAAGGGAAGTTGACGATAGAAAAGTTAAAGTAATCACGTTTATCATATAGCCTGGTTGTTAGATTACCATTAACGTCTTTTTCAAGTAAAATATCCAAGTTTGAAACAGATGTGAAAGACTCTGTAGTATCTTTTTTCTCAAGCTCACCAGGATATATCGTATCGACGTAGGAATGGAAATTACCATTGTTAATTGACAATACGTCATGGACATATCTAAATGTCAAGTTGAAGGCTACAGCAAGTGTTTTCTACTTTTCTGGCATAAGATTTTGCACAAATTTTGCTTTATATGAATATAAAAATAGGTCTGATAATAACGGAGCGCAATTGGTACCCATGGGAATTCCAATAGATTGTTGGAATACTTGGTCTCCAAATACCACATAGATAGTGTCAATCAGAAACTCAAGCATCTCTTTGATATCAACTTTAGATTACTTGTGTGTGCAATCAGAATGTGTTTTAACAAATTAATTTTGCAAATCATCAATGACCAAGTAAGTAAATTTACGAGTTCCAATTTTTTTTGAAAAAGCAGCTGTCAATGATATCAAAAAGCCTGGATTTTAATTTATAGTTGGGAATGGTTGTGTATAAAGTTGAAAAATGGTAAGTTTTTAAGCTGTTGATTTTGGTAAAATCATGTGATTTCAAATTGTCCAAAAGTTCTTTGGAATTTTTGAGTATCCACATCTGATTCACACCACTTCTTGAATATATAGTTTTTCCTTCACTACTGTTAATATCTTAGTGAGTAACAAAAGAGGCTTGGTTGAACATTTACTGGAACCCGCAATGTATCTTTGTTTGTAAGGATTTTTATGAAGTTTAGGAATCCAATATATATAGGGTAGTTCAAATTCATTTTGGCTCTGTGGGATATAAAAAATATTTGAAACTGATGACTTTAAAGAATTTCTTCCTTAGAAAGGAAAGTATGAGCATAAGTAGGATTACCACTTGTAAAATTAAATCCAAGTTCTTCTAAAATACAATTTATATAATGAGTGTAACAAACGAAGACAATGTTGTTACCTGCATTGTCGACAGGGACCAGTACGTACTGATCATATATAGTTTTCTTCATTTTTTGCTAAATAATTTATGATTTTTAGTTTAGCTCATAAAAAAAGTAAACTGTACATTGCTGGCTGATGATAATTATACAGTATGAAAAAGATTTATAGCTTTGTTTCTATAAAGAAGAAGTCACGGTTTGTGCATTTTTGTTCCCTAAAACTTTTTACATAAAAAGTCTTCGAGAAATTACGAAATATTGTACCATGAAGTATGACCATTCTAAAAATATGGCGTCATGAATTTAATACAATTTAAAGTTAAAAAAAACGTCCGAGGCACTTTTTTAATTTCAAATACTGGGGTATGTTGAGAAAATCCTTTGAAAAATCATATTTTCAAAATCTTTGTGGATGATGCATGTGTTCTGTATTATGTGAATGAAAATTCCTTTAAAGTTGATGTTTTCTGCAACATTTTGATAAATTGCTGGGAAATGCACAAGTTCATGACATCACATCAAGAATTAAGGAGATCGTTTTGGAAAAAATGATTTGTACGTTCTTGCTGCATAAAATTTCAATAATTAAGAAAGAATAAATTTTAATTTCTTACATAACTTCCATAAAATAGAAAAAAATAAAGGGCAAGATTTGTTATTTTACTGTTACTTGCTGTTTGTAAATACTTTTACACCTTTACACGAAATAAAAGTTAGCAATAAAAGCAAGAGTAAATTCAAAAAGAATGCTTAGTATTATAGTTTATGTGTAAAATAAAAGAAAAATAGATAGGTCATCGGAAGAAAAGATGTATTTAAAATTTTTATTTTTATTAAAAAATAAGACTTGAGAACAAACGATCTGGCTTTAGGGTTATAAAACTTAAATGAGCTCACTTTATGTCAGTCTCACTTTTCCACTTTATATAAAACCGAGCTGAGGTACAAAGTGAGCTCATTTAAGTTTTAGGACACTGTAGCCTGATTGTAATCAGGTCCAAATCCCCATTCGATTTTATGAATTATCAAAGATTTAATGAGAAAATAAATTTCTTTTTCAAATAGGTACAATCAATTGTCGCCCAGATCAATTCCAATGCAATACCAGTGCCTGCATTTCTCAGTCTCTGAAATGTGATGGCCGTGTTGATTGTGTAGACGGATCAGATGAAGATAACTGTCGTGAGTTGGGGATATCAGTTCTAAGTGCTAGAAATACAAGGATAAAGTTATATACTTAATAGAATACTTTATATTTTTAGCTACAGTGAAAGGTCCTTGTGCTAATGATAGTTTTGACTGCTACGGAAATGGATCCCAATGTATTGAGGCCAGTAAACTCTGTGATAACACAACGGACTGTGTCAACTCTGCAGACGAGGATAACAAACTCTGTGAAAGTAAAGTATTATCATAAACTTCTGATGACACTGCAATTTGTAGGTACTAATACATCATCTTGTAAACTTTTCACCTACTTCACAGTATAAGTGTTGAGATCTTATCGGGCGTCAGTGCACCGAGCTAAAGAGCTAACAAACAAAGCAGTTTTATTAAGCACATCCCTGGGATAGCATCAGATGGGCCCGGGGAGGGAGGGGAGGGGGTTGATTCCCCGATTTTTTCCAGACATAAATTTTAGTATACATATACTAGTATTGTTGAAGAGGACACAAAGAGAAGGGTCAATTTGTTATGTCGTTAGCTGACTTTATGCATATAGACTTCGTGCATGTAAAAAGAATCCCACTGATGCAATTATAACAAATTTAATATATCACTTTTAATCTTATTCAAAACTAAAGCAATTCCATGTAGCTTGAACAATGGTGGTTGTATGCACACATGCATTCCTATTGGCACACAACACCGGCGATGTGAGTGTTTGGATGGTTACCGGTTAGTGGGCAACACTTCCTGTGAAGACGTGAATGAATGTGACCAATGGCCCCCTGTTTGCTCACAGATATGTGTTCATGAGCTTAAAGGGTCATATAAATGTGAATGCATGTCGGAATATTACCCAGAATTACTCTCGGATGGCCAACATATTTGTAAAGCTACTGGTGAGTAAACAAGGATCCTTTATTCATTTTTCATCATATGTGTGCCATTGACGAAGTTACGAGGCATTTGAGAAAAACACACTCATATGCTTTTTTTTTTACATTATAAACTTATTTTATTTAAACTGCACACAGTTAAGCAAACTTCATTGCAGGTTTCAAGAATTACTTTCGAATAATACACAGAGAAATAATAACTCAGAAAATATGATGCCGAATAAACTTAGGCTATGAATTAAAACCAGAACAGCTGCAATTTATTGGCAACGTTTGTTTATAATTTCTGCTCTTCACCATCTTAGCTGCGTTTTTTAAAAATCCATACCCTATGACCACATTTCACAAAATGGAATTTGTTTGATTATACAGGAAAAAGGCATTAATTTTGTGTATGCTGTACTCATGGGAGCTGTCAGATAATATATACACGCTATTCTTTGTTTTATTTTTCAATAAGTGTCCAGGTTGCCCGTCAAAATGTCTGTCCCTCTCCGCGGACCCCGATGTCTGCACGTGTAGGCATTTTTATTAAAACTTGTAGCTCTATGTGCTATTAAAAGTACCTTGCTTTCAATTAGGTGAGAGACCGTGGTTGTTCTTTGCCAACAGAAATGACATCAGAAAATTGGAGATAGACACTCTAAAACAACGACCTGTTGTCGGTGGCCTTCATAGTGCTGTTGCTATTGATTTTGATTATTACAGCAAAGTTGTTTACTGGACTGATAATGTGCAAGAGAAAATTATGAAGTAAGTAAAATGATTTCAAAGTAAATACTGAAAATGAATTTTTTTTTATTTGTCAAATTTATTTTTTTAGGTTAAAACGAATAGTATGTCATTTTCATCAGGACAAACATAACTGAAAAAGGGGAAACAAATAGGACGAGCATACCTGTAATTAGCCGTGGTATCCAGAATCCTGATGGAATCGCTGTGGACTGGATCTATCATAACCTTTACTGGACTGATACTGGCTATGATACTATACAAGTTGCCTCGCTTGATGGATTCATCAGAAAGACGCTTGTAGATGAAGACCTGGATGAACCAAGATCGATTGCTTTGGATCCAAAAAATGGGTCTTATTTCTTATATCAATAAATATTTGAGAATTTAACATAAACCTCATGATCTTTTGAATGGTCTATTTATTAAAAAAAGGACAAATTTTATACTAAATCAGGTGGATGTATTTCTCTGACTGGGGAACAATTCCCAAGATCGAGCGCATAGGAATGGATGGAAATCACACCAGCAGAAGTGTTCTGGTGCAGAGAGAAATTGTATGGCCAAATGGTTTAACACTGGATTATGCTAATGAAAGATTATATTGGATTGATGCTAAACTAAAAAGCATATTTACAATCAAACTAGATGGTAGTGATATTCGAAGAATTCTGCACAACGCCGAGCAAATCGGCCATCCATTTTCATTGACTGTTTTTGAGGTAAGAAATTTATGAAGTCTTCTCAGTAAAGGGTCACTAGTTTGAATATGCATCTTTCTAATCTAACAAAATTACAGCCTTGGTTTGTTTTGTAGGAAAGTCTTTACTGGACAGATTGGGGGGCTGAAGGTATACGAAAAGTGAACAAATACACTGGACAGGGATATTCACAACTAGTCGCAGGTTTGAGGGCTCCTATGGACATCAAGGTCTATCATCAGCAAAGACAGGTGCGAAGTAAGTTTCTTTTTTAAAGGAATGGTTTTATTATTAAAGAATATAACATATCTTGAGACAAATAACTGTGATTCAAATCATATTGTCATATTCAGGTTCTAACAACTGTGGGAAAACAAATGGTGGCTGTTCCATCTATGCCTACCAGCCCCAGTATCATTGAATACTAAAGGGTACACGTGTGTTTGTCCAAACAACATGATCCTATCTGGAAAACAATGTAAAAGTGGTGTGTAGAAATTTGCATACTATATTTTTGTATTTTTTAAATGCAACAACAGAAACTTGCAATTCCTTCAATTTCTGAAAGGAAGTTCCTAACCTTGGGTAAGAAATAGCATATCGTACTATCGAATTTGCTTTGTTTGTTTTTGAAATACTATATACTTGTCTTTGCTATGTGAAAAGGTGGATCTAAGATATAGATGGAGAGTGGCCTGGCTTAATTCAGAGACGAAGAAGAGAAATCAAGAATCAAATTGTGCGAGTTTTGGATAAGAAAGTCAAGTCCAAATATTTTGATGAAAAAAGTGATCATAAAAAAGAGGGAAAAATATTTCATTTTGAACACTCATTCTATATTTATGCTCTACGAATTATAAAAGCAAGAAAGTGGAAGGGGAGAGATCAATGTTTCGTTGCAGATTGATATGAATGACCAATTAAACGAACCTACGAAAATTCGCATTGTCGCGCTGCTTTTGATCTTTTACTTAAATTCAGCAAATAAAAAACGTTAACAATATGAGAAAAGAAAAAGCAGTCCCACTGAATTCGAGAGAAAGTTAACGAAAACGTTCAGTTGGATGATTTAGTAAAAACGTGCCTTTTTAATAAAGTAAGTTCAGTCATAGTATGTAAAGTAAAGTTTGTCGACATTTGTTTTTTGAAAAAATACACTAATTAAGTCTTATAAATAGCCAATACACACCAACATTGCACTCAATCTCACCATAATCAACCTTGATGTTTTCTAATGCTTGTAGGCAAGATCACCGCAGCTTGTTTTTGCTAATTTTGTAAAAGTCAAATAAAACACTTTCATGTTGATGAATAATGTCATTTATTAAAATGACGGTATAAATGTAAACAATTTAACAAAAAAGAAGGGGATCAGATTCACAAGCTTTGCTTATCAGTTACGTAAAATATGATAATGTCTGATCCCCCAAAAATGACTATAGAAAAGTATCTGTAAGACAAGACAATCAAAACATCATATTAAAAAGTTAGCAAAAAGATGGCACATCAAAACAAAATAGGCAAACATCACAAGAAAAAGTTGGCAAAAGGATGGTACATCAAAAAGACAATCAAAACCTCAGAAGAAAAAGCTTGCAAAAAGATAGTAATCAAAACAAAATACATAGAAGCAGTAAAACAATTGAGTAAAAACTAGAATAAAATATAAATTTTACAAGACACATTAATCATCATATTAAGGGATAGGAATGTTGGGGTGGAGGTGGGTCTTCAAAATAGACGTGCCTCATGTTAAGTATGAATGACGTGACCTTACACATTCTATTGCAATTAATCTATCAGGCAAGGCGTGGATCTGAGAATTTTCACAATGTACCAACGTAAATGTTTCCGGAAACCTCCAAACAAATTATCGCATTAAATACATAAATACAATTATTATGATAATAATTGTTGTTTTTTTTTTATTAGATACTCGTTAGTTCCAATACACATATACAACTTAAAATCAGGGGTCTTTTCATTCTTGCACAAATATTGAATTAAAAAAGGATATATAGAAGCATATTAAAAATAATTTCGATAATAAACGGTTTTTTTTTTTAATTTAGGAGTAGATTCTACAGGCAATGCTGAACGTACAACTTCAAGCTCTGTTGAAGCTATCAATGTAACAGATAACTTTGTTTTAAGCTCTGAAATATCAACAACAGAGATTAATAAAGTTTCGGTTGACTTTACTGGCAGCTCAAAACCTCCATTTGAAGTAACAACCAATGTTTCAAGGCACATAACTGTCAGCTCTGAAAATCTATCTGAGGTAACATCAAAAGTTTCTAGTCGATTTGATGTCAGCACTGAAATAAAATATGAAACTACTACTGACGCTCCATCTCGTCTTCCTGACCACACCAACACTCGGTATAAAGAAACTACCAGTATACATCCACAACTTACTGTAAAAACCAAAACTCGGGATGAAATAACTACCAAAGATACTGGTCTCAACAGTTTGAGCACTGCGACTCCAACGGAAACAGATGTCGAAGTTGATATCAGCTCTAAACATCCGTTTGTGAATTCCAGTGTTTCAGAAAACGAAACTTTGCATGATATTGTGACTCCAAGAAAATCTACCAATGAAACAGTGGTAGAAAATTCAACAGAGGATCCAATAGTAACAGCCGTGGTGATTGCAGTTGCATTATTACTCTGCCTAGCCATTTTGGTCATTGTAAGTACTTAATAAAACTCAAACATACTGCCTTTACATTCAAGTCAAGTTAGCATTATTTTTATTAACCTTTTTCATGATAAATACCTACTTTTGTATTTGTAGATTGGATTTTTCGCTTACAAGGCGTGAAAGAAAAATATGAGTAAATATGAAATAATAATTATCCTTAGTTTCTGATCTATCCTCATAACTAGCAAAATTAGAATACTACGAGGGTCGATTCAAAAGTAATGTCACAGTGTCCATATCTTTTATAATTGGCGTCATATTATCAAATATAATATACCAAAAGATGCACAGATATAAATCTAATTAAACTTGAATTTTTCATTCAATAATGTTTAAATGAATTTATTTTATAGATGTTTAAAACATAGAACATAAGGGGTATCGCCGCGTCACAACCGAACATCACAGATTTAAGTGTACTTTTTTTTAGAATAAAATAGACAAACACATCACAAAGCATCTTTTAAAAGCGCCTAATCACAAAATATTAGATAGAAGATAAAAATTTACATTATTTCCTAGTTTTAAGTTGAAAATTATGTGGCATAATTTCTATTTCTGATCAAACACATCGTTGTTTTACTCCGCTGCATTGAAAAAAGGAAATGTCGAAATGGACAAAAAAGCCAAAACAAACTGCGGTGCATTTCTTTAAAATTGAGAAATCGCCAGTAGAGACAATTACATTAATTCACCAGACTGACAGAAAAAAAGAATGTAAATTAAACACTTGTTTAGATGGTTTCAGTGATTTTGGGTGGGTGATGAGTCATTGAATGTTCAGCAGATGACAAGAAGACCGAATTATTTTAAAGATGAGAGGACTGACGGAAACGTTCAATGGTGTGTGACGTTTTCAAAAAAGACAGTCGGTAGAGCGATATGTGAAATGTTAAGTTTGTCTACTACCGCTCAAAGAATTTTGACAGACGAATTAATTATGGAAAAAGTGGGTGTACGATGGTTACCAAGTTTTCTTAAACTTTTGAACGCAATCGTTGATCTCAAATTTTTTTTAATGAAACGAAGGGAAGCGTTTTAATGTATGACGGCGCGTATCCGTTATATGACGTTATTTAGGTCGGAGACTACCCACAATCGCATGTTATATATAATCCTATATTTTGAAGAGTATAAATCATGTTAAATTGAAATTAGCAGGTCTGATTTGAAATAACTGTAGCTTTCATCATTAATAATTTTGTTGTTTTACGTGTAGCGACTTTATCGAGGTTGTGACATTACTTTTGGATCAACCCTCGTATTATTAGTTACATAGTCTTTTAGTGACAGGGTATGGGATGATACCTGGTTAGTAAATTTCATACCTGGCGAGGCAAAGCCGAGTCAGGTATGACATTTACTAACCAGGTATCCCGTACCCTGTCACTAAAAGACTATGTAACGAATTTACCCCACCGATGTAACATTTACCTTTTATCTGTAGTTTTTAAATGGTTTTCTCTGCTAAATCCTTCATCACGCTTATACTGTGCCCATTATGACGTCACGTTTGTGTTTGTGACGTAATACATCGACCGGGTATAGATTACAACTGACCGGGTATGGATTTACAACTGACCGGGTATAAGAAATCCACCGCCTTCACGTGACAGACTTCAACCAATCGTAAGCCAGGATTTCACGGAAAAATCGACAGAGGTGGGGTAATATAAGTTACATAGTCTTTTAGTGACAGGGTATGGGATGATACCTGGTTAGTAAATTTCATACCTGGCGAGGCGGAGCTAAGTCAGGTATGAAATTTACTAACCAGGCATCATCCCATACCCTGTCACTAAAAGACTGTGTAACGAATTTACCCTACCGATGTAACATTTACGTTTTATCTGTAGTTTATAAATGGTTTTCTCTGCTAAATGCTTCATCACGCTTATACTGTGCTTATTATGACGTCACGTTTGTGTTTGTGACGTAATACATCGACCGGGTATAGATTAACAATTGACCGGGGTATAAGTAATCCACCGCCTTCACGTGACAGACTTCAACCAACCGTAAGCGAGGATTTCACGGAAAAATCGACAGAGGTAGGGTAAATGAGTATATGAGTGAGAATTTGGATTAAACTCGGCAAAATTGCGTATTCTTTTTCTTTTTAGTTCCAAAGCCTTATCAGACAGATGAATTTCTATATGAATCTGATCAATATGTGCCAATGAAGGGAACTTGTGATACTGAATCAGACAGTGTTGTTACAAGTGATGAAGCTGATACTAAAGCAAGGTCAAAAATCAAGGTTTTTTTATGCTTACATTTCAATTAATTCCCTTAATTTAACGTCGTATTTTCATCATTCTCTAATAAACAAACACACTTTGAAACAGACTATAAAAATGTCTAGTAAAGTTTAATTTATGCTATTTACAGGAAACAATTGATGTTCCAGGCTCTTTGAAAAACTATATTGAACAAGCTAATAAAAAATTAGCTTATGTATAAAGTGACAAAAATTGAAGAGGAAGAAAACTAGATTAGACGGTTGTTACACAACCATTTCCTGTATATAAAGAAAAGGTATATGGTTGCGGACACGAAGAACCTTAAAAACAGTGATAAAAATAAATTCTATTACCATAGAACACCCTCTGATTTTTTTTCCCATTTTTTACAGGATTTTGAGACAAGGATTGCAAAATTTGAGCATTATACATATACATATAACTTCTTAAAATTCAACAACATTCTTTAGATAACACCAAGTCAAAATTTGAAACATGGGCAAGAGCTATGTTTTTATTTTCCCGTGTATGTTCAACTTGTTTACTAGACCTGCATAATTGGACAACACTGAGCAGATATATATTACTGGTATGGTTGGTCACTTTTACTTTTTCATATTTCTATTCTAAATTTTCTCAAGTACATATTGTTTATACATGTACACAGTAAATTTTCTGACTTAAGTTTTTTAAAAATGTTAAGGATAGAAAATTTTACTTCTCGAAATAGCAAGAATATGTGTCAATTAGATGTGTCCAGAAATTCGTAGTTATAATAATTTTCATATAAATGAAGTTTCTGAGCACTCATATAAAATACTTCTGTGTGAAATAATCTAGCAGCTTTTAATTCTTTACGTTATTCTTAAAATTTTGGAAAATGTTAACTGCAAACCTTTAAGATAAAACATCTCTAAATAGCGTCTATATCATGTATCATAATATATCAAAAATGATAACTTCAAATTTATGTCCAAGCCCTGTGGGATATAATCTATCTAGATAGCTTTTATATCATCTATCTCAATATTGTAACACCAAAGCAACTTTTAATTTTGCCATATTAATATACAATTCTAAATACATGTATAAACTTAAATATCATTTTAATTATGGAAAAAATGTACTGGTTAATAACCACTGTAAAACTCAAGTGATTAGAGAATTTACAATAATTCTCATATTTATTGATTAAAAATTATTACACAATAATTATAAATTATTAAAAATTGTAACACTTTTAATCGCTATAAGAAAAAGGGGAAAGTTGTAAAATATTTTACATTTAGGTAACTAAGTAAAATAAATGTATTGCTCAAATTGATAATTAGATTGCATTTGCAGAAGTGATATAAAAAAAAAATATGAACAAAATAAAAAGAAATACTAACAAATTTTTTAACTAGGAAACAAAACATAAAATAGTACTTTTAAATTAACACTTTAACCATAATAAAAAGGGGAAAAGGATAATTTTGATAGATATAATAATTAGGCCCTGTTCACATGGAGAGTTTAATTTGTAATAAATTAATGCAAAGTAAACTAATGCGGATTAAAATAATGCAAATTAAATTGCGTTCACACGACAGCTAAAGCGAAGTACATGTAAACTAATGCGAATTAAAATTTTTACTCCTACCATCAGACTTTAGAAGGCTATTATGACATCATCTGCAAATCATGTCGCCTTATGCAGAAGCTGATCCATTTGAAATATTTAAAGTGTCTGTACACACATTTTAGTGATTAACACAATTTTCCTTCATTTTTCACTCAAAAATAGCACAAGTACCTATAGCTGGCCACCGACATGTGATATATGACATTTTTGCCATTATGCATGCGTCAAAATTTAATTCGAATTAGCTTCGCTTCGCGTTCACACGGAGCTAATGCGAGTAATTTAATGTGCAGTCAATTAATTCGAATTAAACTAATTCGCATGAAATTCTCCGTGTGAACGCTAAGCGAAGCTAATTCGCAGTAACTTACATTTAATTGGAATTAAACTCTCCGTGTGAACAGGGCATTATAATCACGCTGTTGGAAAATGTAAATTATCTAAATTATCCAAGACACATATTTACAATCAAATATTAAATATTGACAAATAGTATCATAGTAAAAAAAAATTAAATATTATTAATTACATGTAAATTATGACGTTTAGAGACAAAAATAAATTATCCTCAAGTTAAAGATTTTTTATTTCAAAAATAAAGATATTTTTTCACTTTCAGCTACTTTCAATACATTCATACAATCATGTTCATGTAATTAAACACAAATCTCTTAAAAGGAGATCATTTATAATGACTAGAATAGTAAACATTACAAGTTATTTTTACAAAGAACTTTCTTGTAAGCTCCTTGTGCTATAAAAATAATTTAAGGCAATTAATAATTAAACATAAGTGTACTGGAGGTTGTGGATTTCCAGTTTTATTATTATAGAAGTAAAAGGGACTCTTATAACAGCAAGGAAACTAAAATGATAAGCACTGTAAACTGTATAGCATTTCATCAGGTTATTACATAGTCTTGGAGTTCAAAACTACTGTCCAGTATCTATTGATACATGTAGAACAACCAAATAACTGTCTTTGCCTTGAAGTTTGTGAACTTAAACTCATATCAGATTCTAGCAATAGTCACCTTTAAAATAGGAATATTAGGATTAAGCCATCTTCTGTCATCTATATTGATTCTGTCCTTTACTGTCTTTGACCTTGGCCTTATCTTTGACATTAGAATCAATAGGACTTTTGATGTAATCTCCATGCTTTTTTGTAGTAGGAATGGGACAGCAAGATCATATGTCATCATTACAATGTACCTCAATAATTGGTAGAACTTCATACATTGAAAGATACAAAAGGGGGCTAATATTCGGGTATTTTTTTATTCCATTATTTTTTGTAATGTTGCTACCAACTGAGATAGAAATCACAACCACACTTTCCCCCTAGTACTTACTCTACATTAAAATACCTATGTACATGTAAAATTTAAGAGGTTTTGCATCATCCCAATAAGGCAGAACAAGAGGCCCATGGGCCACATCGCTCACCTGAGAAGCTTTGACAATTCTGTCCTTTACTAGATTTCCCCCCTTGTAATACAAATTGTGACCCCACCCTACCCCACTGATCATAATTTAGACAATTTGAAATCTACACTACCCCAGGATGCTTCCATATAAGTTTCAGCTTTTCTAGCCCAGTTGTTATTAAGAAGAAGATTTTCAAAGATTTTTCCTATATATTTCTATGTAAAACTTTGATTCCCCATTGTGGCCCTGCCCAATCCCCAGGTGTCATGATTTGAACAATTTAGAATCTACACTACCCCAGGATGCTTCCACATAAGTTTCAGCTTTTCTGGCACAGTGGTTCTTGAAAAGAAGATTTTCAAAGATGTTTCCTATATATTTCTATGTAAAACTTTGATTCCCCATTGTGGCCCCGCCCAACCCCGGGGGGTCATGATTTGTATAATTTACAATCTACTCTATCCCAGGATGCTTCCACATAAGTTTCAGCTTTTCTGGCACAGTGGTTCTTGAAAAGAAGATTTTCAAAGATTTTTCCTATATATTTCTATGTAAAACTTTGATTCCCCATTGTGGCTCCGCCCAATCCCCGGGGGTCATGATTTGAACAATTCAGAATCTACTCTACCCCAGGATGTTTCCACATAAGTTTCAGCTTTTCTGGCCCAGTGGTTCTTGAGAAGAAGATTTTCAAAGATTTTTCCTATACATTTCTATGTAAAACTTTGATTCCCCATTGTGGCCCCGCCCAATCCCCAGGTGTCATGATTTGAACAATTTAGAATCTACACTACCCCAGGATGCTTCCACATGAGTTTCAGCTTTTCTGGCACAGTGGTTCTTGAGAAGAAGATTTTCAAAGATGTTTCCTATATATTTCTATGTAAAACTTTGATTCCCCATTGTGGCCCTGCCCAACCCCCGGGGGTCATGATTTGTACAATTTAAAATCTACTCTATCCCAGGATGCTTCCACATAAGTTTCAGCTTTTCTGGCACAGTGGTTCTTGAGAAGAAGATTTTCAAAGATTTTTCCTATATATTTCTATGTAAAACTTTGATTCCCCATTGTGGCCCCGCCCAATCCCCGGGGGTCATGATTTGAACAATTTAGAAACTACACTACCCCAGGATGCTTCCACATAAGTTTCAGCTTTTCTGGCCCAGTGGTTCTTAAGAAGAAGATTTTTTAATGACCCCACCCTATTTTTGTCTTTTCTTGATTATCTCCCCTTGTGAAGGGACTTGGCCCTTCCTTTTAATAATTTAAATTCCCCTTCACCCAAGGATGCTTTGTACCAAGTTTGGTCAAAATTGGCCCAGTGGTTCTTGAGAAGAAGTCGAAAATGTGAAAAGTTTACGGACGGACAGACGGACGGACAGACGGACGGACGGACGACGGACACAATGTGATCAGAAAAGCTCACTTGAGCCTTCGGCTCAGGTGAGCTAAAAATTAATAAAAGTACTTAAAGAAACATAACTCTATCATAATATAATAAAATATAAAATAGGAATGTGTGAAAATAAATTAAAAACAAAATATATAAACACTAGATAGCGGAAAATTGCTTCACTTAAAATATACATAATTACAACATCTTGGTTGAAAAAACAGTGCAAGTCAAACAAGATACAATATACTGCAGTAAAATGTATAAGAGTATTCTAATATTAATGTTTTCCATTTGAAAACAATAAAAAGCATGGATATCATAAGAAACACAAATGTGGTGCTAAAATTCAAAATATCTTACATTTGGGCTTACTTTATTAATCACATGCAACAAACTCTCGTTAGTAGAATGTCTTCCTTTTTCTCAAATCTCTTATACTGCATACATTAAATATGCTAAGTATGAATAAGCAGACATCATGACTATTCTTTACTTATCCAAACTTCCAAAACTGTAGTAACATTATATCAATATAGTGTTAGAAATACAACATAAAACAGTGACAAGAAAAACCATATTGGATTTTTCCTAAATAAGCCATCAATTAAATCAGTCCTTAAAGAACATGTGTTACCTGCTGGTCAGTAATTCAAAAAGCCTTTTTAAATTATTTAATTTTAGTTTTAAACTCACAATCTTTTAGGATTTTTTTAAAAATATTAAACAGAAACTATATTTTTAATGGCTTTAGAAGAACGTTTGCAATAAAGAGATTAAAAAAAGCTTCATATATTCAATTAATTTGTGCATACAAACTAATTTTCTGCCAAATAATTTCTTTGGACTCATTGACATGTATGTATGCTCATACTTATTTCCATACGAACCTAATTTAAGATGTTTCATTAATTTATGACACCCTCTGACACCGTGTTTCTTCAAAACTATTGTCTATGGAATTTCGGGACAACCCTCATACAGACAACCCTTGTACACCAAGTTTTAGTTCTGGGCCTCCTAAAACTTTAATGACTAAAGTTTTCTGACCATTGGTGAAAACCAAACTTGTCTGACCTACACACAAGCATAGATCTAAAGCAGTTCGATGAAATAATTAGGACACTAATTAATATAAACACATTCATTGATTTTTTTTTTCATTATTTTGAGCTGACTACAGTATATCCTAGCGATTTTTTCATCTTATCAAGTTACATCTTTTTATGGAATTTCATGATCTGAGATAGTTCTGGGGTTTTCTAAGAAAGTGTGATTACCAGAGACAGACATGCAGACAAACATCAGACAAATGGTCTCTCCGTTTCTAGTACCGATATACTATGCAGGTAACATAAAAATAGCTTATGATCACTGATTGTCTACAGCTATCAAAATAAATAACATAAAAATTTGATTCCTTAGGAACAAAACATACATGTTTAAATGAAACACATTTTCAATGTGGATTTCATTATTTTTTTACATTTACTGTAATGGTAAAAGCAATGTGTCTTTTTTTTCAATGTAATTTTTAGACCTTACTTTTATGACAAGAATATAGGTGGAGAGACTTAATTTCAGAAATGCAAGTAAGAGATGCATGAAGCATAAATAATAACATCCAAGCTTGACTAATAAAACCTCATCAAAGAGACAACATGTTGGCCTGGCTGTGGTGAGTAATGATAATCTCAGCAGGATGAGACTGCTCCCACGGTTCACCATCCACCTGCATCGGTACATTACTTCCACTCAAACTTATCTGTTAAAATGTATAACATTACTTGTACATTATGTGATCACATAAACTAAGTTCTATGGAAAGGGTAAAATTTATTCTCTCATATGAAGTGGATTATTTGCTTAGATATATTTTTTAAAAATATATTCACCAAAAGAGAAGATATGTTTTTATTGAATAGAAGTCTAGCATGTACATTAAGACATAAAATATTTTCAAAATCTAACTTTTACAAAATATTTCTGATGACAGGGTTTTTTGTTGTCGTTATGTCTGTATTTTTATATAACACTTCTTGATTTTTATGAATCACCTCTTCTTACCTTGACAACTTTTGCCTGGCCCAGCCTTATAGGATCAACCATCCCCACCTGAAGCTGGGCAATATGGAAGGAGGAATATACTCCCATCACCTCCAGTATGCCATCATTGTATCTGCAATGAAAATGACATTTTTTCTTAAATACAGATCACAATATTTCTTGTACGTAACATATTTGCACCATGTCAACATACAAGTTTAATTCTGTCCTTAAAATTTCTTAAGAGAATCCCTGCTCTAAAATTTACACACCTGGGTGCTTTCAACTGTTTACTCTCGTCATGTCCTGCTCCCCAGGGCTGACATCCTCCTCCCCAGCTACTGATATTCAAGATCACAATGGCTTCTATCTCAGGTAAGTCTATCAACTGTCCATCCAATTCCACCTGGCCAAAATCATTCTTTTATTTATTTATTTACAATGTAGACCATACCAATCATATACACGTTCTTCAATAAATTTAAAATAGTTGGCATTACAAATTTATGGTAAATTAAATGAGCATATATGATATAACATGTTTATAGCTGAAAGTTGGTTGCAATTTTGTTTAAAATTCATTATAAACCTAAATTATATCTTAAAAATGCAGAAAACGATTTACTTTATTATAAGCATGAATTTATTAGGAATTCACTATGAACATGATTGTTGTAACTGTGTTCCACTGTATTTTATAATTTTTTATTACCATATTTACATGTAGGTAATAAACATACTTTATACAGATGTTATTTTACAATTTTTATTACCGTATTTAGGTAATAAACATACTTTATATAGATGCTACATCTTGCCAGAGAAGCTATAATAGACATTTGTTATACAAAAATTATCATACCCAAAAAATAAGTACCTGAATTTTTTTATGTAGATTTTTACATTCATTTTCTAAAACATCCTTGGTCCCATAATAGAAATAACAAAGCTACAAAGAGAAGAAAAAAAATTACATCATAAGGCCATAATAAAAATATTCCTAGATTCTCATCCCCGCCCGCCCCGATTTTATACCCCCGCCTCGATTTTTTTTATTTCTGTTTTTCTTCGTCTTAATTCTGATCGGGATCGGCATTCACCTACCATTCTACTTTCGTTTTAAATCCCGCGAAAGTTGACATGATTTTGACTTTTGACAGCTGTTTAAAAGATAGTAATTGCTGTAATACATGCGTATATATTTTAAACAAGGGACATTGGTTGAAAAATATTGGTGATGATGTGAAGTAAGAGATAAAAGAACCTTTATTATATGACTTTTATTCAGGTATTGTAGATAAAATTACACCGATTGACCAGTCAATAATAAATCTGCAAAACTGAAAAAATAAAAATTATAAAATAAAAGCCGCCCGCCCGCCTCGATTTTTAAAAAAATTCGGATGAGAATCTAGCAATTTATTTATTATGGCCTAATTAATATGATTAAACTTTTTTGCAACATAATATGCCACCTCATTTTAACAGTTATTCATCAAAAATATGAAAAAAAAATTGAAACGATTCAGCTATAGAAAGCATTTGATAAAATGTATAAAAAAATGAAGTCAGCTACACTTTGACAAATTTTAGACTTTTTTTATTACATTATCTTATATAAAAACATTTTTACATATTTCATATGAAAAGTGGGGATCTTACATTTAAAATATATGGAAGCCTCATTTACCTTATTTATTAGTCTGTGGGCAAACAACCAAGGTTTTGATTCCCTCTGACGATGAAAATTCAAGGTCACTAGTGCATCAACACCCAGAGAGCAGTAGTTGTTCATGATTATCTACAACAACAATGAAAATTATAGGGAATGTCTTTTATTTACATGTAAATAATGACATAATTTTGCCTCAAAATAGTCAGAATGTAGGATACATTTGTGGCATTTTTTAAAAAAAATATTTCTGGAAGAGCCTCCTCCTTCCCTTACCAGCAGAGGAGAGAGACACCCCTTTCCCACACTTACCCTCCTTGTTGTTTAGCAACTCAGCCAGCAGCCAATGGCTGCTGAACAACTAACTCAGTATTCATGAACAGGACTTGTAAGAATTCAAAATTGTTATCCTTGCTGACTACATATTGCTTTCAAAGTTAGTGTCAGCCAATATTGAGTCCACTCAAGCCATTATGACCTGTGATATGGATTCTAGTTTGTAATAGTTTCTATTTCAAAAACTCAACAAAAAAATAAGCAACTTCTTAAAATTTGAAATTGAGCATTTAAAAAAGAAGAATAAAATGAAAAAGAACATTACTCACTTTCTTCACTTTTCCAATCACTTTCTTTGTATTGATTATCCGAACAGCCCACCTTCAAGTAAAATGAAGGATATGGAGTCCAGGAGATAACGAACAGTATTCAATATCAAAGTCCATAAAATAATACAAAATAGGAGCAGAGCAAACACAGTCCTCTAAAACATCAGAGGTGGGATCAGGTGCCTTAATCATCCTTTGTACACAAACATAAATGTATTAAATTTTCACTAACCTTTAAAATTTATTAGTGATAATTGCCATTAATTGCCAGATTTCAGTGTTTATGGATATCTTTTAATGTATGTACTATGGAATCATTTTGTGGTGGCTCAAGAACCCTACATTTATTTTGTCCACAAATTAATATTTGCCATGAATTGATAACTAGGGTCTCAAAGCCATTTCTCCTTTCATGGGTATGGGAGAATGCAAGAAATCATATCCACATGAACCTGTTCAATTTAAACAATCTGCAAAATCCCTAACTGGCAAGAATTTTAAATGATTTTACAGTATACAATAAGAGAAAGTAACACAAAAGCAATACAGGAGTACAAAATATGTTTACCTGTCTAATTTTACTGGCTTAGCCTCCTGAAGTTGTGTCATAAAACTATTAACATCAAGATCTTCATGAGTGTATCCCTCCCCCCAGCCCAAGACTCGAGATAAGTCATTTCCTGTTCCTAGGGGCAAAATAGCCACTTGAGGGGGATTCTGAAAAAGAAATAAAATGAGTAGTTTATAAAAGGGTTTAAGTATTTGACAACAATTCCATTTTGAAAATGAAATCAAAATAAACTACACTTTACATGTTCTTCTGCTTCAATAATGTGTTTATGTATTTGATTTTGAGTTTTTTCGACAAGTTAGCATAGATTTGATTTAGTGTTCTATGAATCTAGTACTACATGTACTTTATATGAATACATACAAATGTATATGCATGCACAAAAATTTTGCCATGTATTTGATTTAGAAAGATGCTAAATAGAATACACATCCATATGAAGCAATTTTTGTTTACAGTAGTTGTCAAATTTTGGTTACAGGTACAAGTATTACAGAAAGAAATTAAGATTTCATGCATGTACTGTATACTGTATGTTCTCTTTCAAAAATGAAGATAAAAGCAAATTACTTTCATTTTCAATTTCCATGTAAAAAGTATAATCTTTATTCAACTGAACAGTCAAAACTGAAAATAATAATGAATTATTACCTGTAGTTTAAAGGATTCTATGGCATTCAGTACCCAGCCAATGGTTCCATCCCCACCACAAACTAATACTCGGAATGTGACAGTGGGCAGTAATCGACACCATTCTAACGCATGCTCTGGAGAATCATCATTCAAATCTATAATCTATCAAAGTAGGAGTGAGCTAGGAGAATTTTATAAACTTTAAAATAACCATCATCTGATTGGCAAAAATATCATGCAAACTGTTTTCAAATAACAAAAAATATAATTTGTAGTACCTGTGTGGGGTTTAGCAATGTTTTGAAAGATCTTAGAATATACTCTCCATCATTATTGCCACTTTTACGATTTCCAATCACAAGTAAGGGACTCCAATTCTTAATGTCAGGAATAGAAGCTTCTTTAATTACAAGACGTTTACGACCTTTCATTCCAACACTTTTCAACTTAATACTAGTTGGTGGTATTATGGCAGTTTTGTTAGGTCCTAAATCACAAAAGTCTGACTTAGGAGAGCACTCTTCATGCACAGTTTGTTGACACCATGCACATTTTCTATCACAGATGTGTGGCAGAGTTCCACAATCCTCATTACATGTGGAGCACTTACTATATAAGGGCAGGTTACCCTGCACCCAGTAATGTTCAAGTCTATCACCTTCCACAGACACTGGTTTACAAGGAATTTTTTTATTGGCTTCTTTCATGTTGTGATCATCAACACAAATTCCGCAGCTATCACAGCGAGCACCATGCTTTATTTTATTGTGACCAATGTTACAGTATGTTTGTTCGGGAAACTCGTCCACCATGTAGAACTTGTGCCCTTTTGTTATGTCCCTAGCTGGTACTTCATAATGCTGTAGTCTATAGTGTCTATACATCTGCATCAGCAGGAATATTATGACTAGAATTACTACAAAAATCCCAAGCAACAGTAAGGAGTCCATTTTCTGAAAGAAGAGATCAGAAGTCATGTACACATATCTACATGGATATGTTCCTTGCTTTGTTTTAAGTTGTATACCATATTGTACAGCAACATCTTATATCGTTATCGTAATAGTAATTAAAAATTCTGAATAGTAAGTAGTAAATACTGGGTACCTTGTAAATATAAATTGAAAAGCTACTACTGCGGCTCCAGATTGCTGGGTGGATCAGTTCACCCACAAAAAGAAAAAGAGGTTTATATTAAAATTCCTATCTTTACCCGTTGATACACGTGGAAATCATACCTGTATGTATAACAAGCACACTCCCTCGAGATTTACGTCACTGTCGGTAACATTTCATCATGTCGTCTGCTCCATGATTAAAGAGCCTGCTATATTTGTCTTCCAGTGTTGTTCTTTCGCTAGCAATATTTTTAAAACGAGATAAAAACATAATTTTAGAAATAGATTTCTGACAGGTAACGTTAATAAACCCCAAATAACTTTTTTAAAACCGCTTCACGATAAAATTCATTACAAGCACAAACCGGAAAACTTGCATGAGCGGCAATTTAAAAAACCAATATAAATGAAATGAAAAATCCGGAAAAACATAATCTTAATCTCATGCAAAAACATTTCAAATACATGTAACTAGCCATTAAAGTCTATGTTCCATGATAGCTTTTATACTTTTAAGCAATATTTTTTAAATGATTGCATTTAGAGTAATTAAAACAAAGATGCACTGAAAAAGAGTTGTAATGGAGGGTCTATTCATATTGTTTGCAGATATTTTTGACATTGTGACACGTACTTCCAAACTTCTCCCACTTTACCTAGAAAATATAATTTAGGGTACCTATTAGATTATTAATCTATGAGAAATATTTCTGATTTCTGGGGAAATAAGTCTGTTTTACTTCTTTAATATTCATCCTTAAGTTTTGAAAATCAATTTATAATTTTGTATGAAATTCAATGTTCAATGAAATGGTCAACATGTTTACGAGTGGGTTTTTTCCTTATTATTATTATTATATACAAACCTGTAAATTGTTCTAAGTTTCAGGTCTTGAGGTCATGCCACAGAGTGCCTTGGAAGGACGAATATATACAGTACAATACTGTACATTCCCTGTCAACCGCTAGTCACAACCGCTATGAGCGCTCTGACGGTATTCCTCTGAAATTAAATGATGCCATACGCAATCAAATTTGGAATTAAAAGAAAATCAAACAATGACATATTTTGAATGAAACATGTCAATAAAAATGCGACCCAAAATATGTTGTTGCTGCAAACAAAACCATAATAGCGATCCTCATAATTTGCGATAAATCGACATTAAAAGTGATGACAGAACGCCCAGTAGCATCAACTTATTTCTCAAAGCCTGTCTTGTTTAAAAAAAATGTTCTTGCAAGAAACCCCTGTTTCAGGTTATATATTGGGATATTACAGTACTACATGTACATAAATATTAGAAGGTGAAGATGGAAAAAGCCAGATGATTCCAATAACTATTTACATATATAAAGTCTTTGAAATAACAAAATATGATGCGTACATGCATGTAGTAGACTTAATAAAATCGAAATCTTGCATTAAATGCCACAAGCAGTAATCCCCCAACCCCTCACCTAGGATTTTGCCTGGCAAAATGTAAAAATAGATCAGCTTATAAAGTGAGACCATTTAAAATAGTGTCCATCAGAATTGCGATAGATTGTTTGCATTCTGATCCAAAGATCACATAAAATATCTTGATATTATCATTTCTCAATAAGGAACGCCAGTGTAATTTTCAAGGTTTGAAACCGTTTTTCTTTAGGAATTCGAAGCAGGGGGAAAATTAACAAGTTAAACGCAACAGAAGCATGTATATTTGTATATGATTTGATTTCTGAATGTCTAAAGACCACTTTCATTTAGAGCTTTGAGCTTCCTTTGCATGAGACTACCAAAAAATTAACCTTCTTAGAGAACTTGGATGTATACCGGTATAATACGATTTCTTGTAGGGGATGGGTTAGATAATACAAAATTATATATCTTTGATTTAAATAAAATTCGTACAACTAGGTAAAATTCATAACTTAATTTTGAAGTTTTGAACAGAGAAACTGATATAACCGTCGTATGAGATTTTTTTAAGGAAACATTAATTCGGCAACCTTACTGTAATAAAATAAAAATAGCAGCATTGATTCTAGGTTCAATTCAGACAAAAGAAAAGTAAGGAGAAAAGCGCCTTTTGAAAAAGATTTCTGTCGAACAATATTGACGAACGTGAAATACCATTAATGACATGTTAAATGCAATTTTTGATAATAAGGTGCTCAATGGGCGCGCAACAATGGAGACACGCGTGCAATAAGTAAATTTAAATCTCCAGTAATAATTAAATGTATAGACGGACTGGAAATGAAATATAAGAAATACACGTCACTTTGAATTTATTTTTGTCAAGTTTACAGATAAAGATATATATACGACTAGAAGAGGCTATTACGATCGATGATTAATGAAAGTTTTCGGTGCAGATCGCCATATAATTATGTCTATCGATACTTTCTATTTAACTCAACTTATTGTACAAATTGGGTTTTCTTTATTCCAATAGGATTAATTGTTAGTGATTTTCGTCTGTTGAAATATCGTTTCACCGCTTTTTGAGGTCAGGGGATTAGGATTAGAAGGCCATATACAAACGGATCGTCTTGGCGCAGAGTAGCCTATACAACATGGAAACGGTGCGATTTTTTCCGACAATCCTCGTCGAAGAATCCAGTTTTGTTACACTATTGCACTTCGTTTGACAGATTTTAAAGTCAACAAAAATGTATTGCTCTAAGCCAAAGAACTTTTAAGAACATTTTCATGTGAAAAAAATATGACATCCGTATTGGATCTTAGTAATTGTTTACCGCTACGAACCCCGAGAAGTTGGGATATTCTTCAAAAAAGACCCCAGAATAGTGAATTCCGAAAGAACAATAATAAGGACAAAAGATTACTTCCATTGTCTATACTGGTCAAAATCAAAGGTCCTCCGAAACTTGTGGACTCCTATACAAAGAACATGGGACCTACTCCACGACCAGAAGCAAGAGATTTTGCACTCACCGCGTCTTGCACTCCTGTCAACATTACAGTTTTCTCAGACGTCAGGGCAAATTTGACGAGAGACAAAGATAAAAAAGGTTCGCTAATTCTTAGACCCGCCTTACAACAAAGTAAGCAAATCCCTGGTAGATATTTTCCCAAAGCAGCCCTAACTGAAGAACAACAGAAATTTATTGTTGGAAAAGATCGCGAGAATGACCGAGAACGCATTGAACAAACGTCAGCTACAAGTCTTGTTTCTAGCAGAGGGAGAGGATTGTCTCGGGGTACCTCGGACGGGATGAGTCGGCAATCCCGTCGAAATTTTACGAATTCTGTGAATCCAAGAATACTTCATACAAGAAAGACTCTCTTTGATCGGGAGGACCGACAAAACCCTTTGTTTAGTTACAGTTTCAAAAGCACTTCTGTAGCCGGCCATTTTGTTGGGGATTCTCTAGAGGCAGACGGTTCGAAAAAAACGTCTACATTCGGTAGGCACGTCACGTTCCCAGAGAAGACATTGGTGTTCCATGAAATGTTGACTGGAACAACCAAAACCTTACATGAACGGAAGGAGGCACAATCTGCTCCCTCCAGCGATCAACTAGTCCCGGAAACCGTTCCTGATGGTGCCAAAGATGAACCACTTCCTGTTTCTGCGTGATAACTATTTCACGACACGTGTTATCATATGCAACGTAAAAATATACGTGTTCTGGAGTCAAGAAGTTTTGGGGAACTGGATACATTAATGAATGTACATAGCTTTGATCTCTTTGCTTGTTTCGGACTTCTATTTAAGTGAGACAAGAGAACTTTGAAATATGTACAGTCAAAAAACTTTATGCAGTATTTTTATGTACGTTGTGTCATGTACATGGTTACTTCTTGTTAAGGATTAAATAAAATCGCGTTGGTTCGTTGAGATCATTTTCGTTTTAGACCTGTAATTAGTCTGAGGTTACTGACATCAAACAAGCGGGTATGGATTAAATGTCATTCAAAAGAGCGTTTCCTTCGCAGTTTAATATAAATCTTTCAAACCATATGCGTAGTGTTCCGTTGGCAAATGTTTGCATTTTGTGGAGTATATTTGTTCCTTTACTATGTTTTTGTTGAAAAAAAAAACTAAATTAAAACACTTCTACCATTATAATACGTTGTATCTTTGGCATTAATTCTCGCAACTTCAAATTATTATGATGATATATAATATTCCAGTCAAACACATTAAAATAAATCTGTAACGTGTAACAAAAACCAAACCAATTGTATTTTTAAGAAATTTAAATCAAACATTAATTTTCCTGACATATGAAGTTTCTCCTCGAAGAAAAGATTTACTGATTCAACTTTAAAAAATTTTTCGTAAATATATCAAACTTCTTGACAAAAAGATTTACTGATTTAACGTAAAATTATTTTTCGTAAACATGTTTGTCAAAGACTCCATACCTAGTTTGATATCTTCTGGGTCCCTATATTTAGAGTTTAGCTAAATGGTTTCTCTTGGTAGTGGATCACAACTTGCTACCTTTCAGTACAGTATATAACGTGACATCCTTCACATGCATACAATGTTCGACTGAGACATGATGAAAGGATCCGACTCCCATGGTGCTTTGTTTAGGTCTAGTAATTCTTCCTTGGTGGTCTGAGCAGTGAATACATGTATGTCTTAATTTCAGAAATTCCACTGTGTTTCAACCGCTTACATATACACATTTCGGAGATAAAAGACTGGACCGTCATAAAGAGAAACCCGCCTCTCGTGTGATATGAAAATGTCATATACCATCCCCTACCCCAAATGCCATCTAGACAATAAAATATATTCAAATCAAATGCCAACCAGAAGAAATGGTCCATTATAACACCGCCTTTTAACACTTGATTAAGACCACCACCACCACCAAATGTAACTTCAGGACTAAAATATGATTTTACATAGTGCCCATGCAGTTCTGTTTTGTGATAAAATTATTCTATGGCATATATGTGAGTGTATATTAAAGTACCTTCAGCAATTAACTAAAATACAACTCAACCCCATGATCCAAGAAACAAGACATGAAGTGTGTATAATCTTATAAAATATTTTGGATCAGAGGTTGGGGGTCTATACTAGTACGGAAGCCCATTTAATTAGTACCTACCAAAAAATATTTTTGAATTCGTTATAACAGATTTTTAGAATTCGGTATTTGTTAAAACAGATTTATTGAATTCGTTATAATGAATTTAATTTGTTATAACAGATTCATTGAATTCGTTATAACGAATTTAATTTGTTATTACAGATTTATTGAATTCGTTCTGTTATTACAGATTTGTTGAATTCGTTATAACCAATTCAAGAATTTGGTTATAACGAATTCAACAAATCTGTAATAACAAATTAGATTCGTTATAACGAATTCAATAAATCTGTTATAACAAATCAAATTCGTTATAATGAATTCAATAAATCTGTTTTAACAAATTAAATATTCGTTATAACGAATTCTAAAAATCTGTTATAACAAATTAAATTTGTTATAACGAATTCTAAAAATCTGTTACAACAAATTGAATTCGTTATATCGAATTCTGAAAATCGTTATAACGAATTCAAAAATATTTTTGATATGTCCTAAATGCGCTTCCGCAATACTAGCTCTTACAAAACAGCTGAAATTGATTTGTTTCCATCTCGCCTTAACTGTAAAAATTAGCATTCCTATTTCGCCTTAGTAAGCTCTCATGTGAATTAAGGTGATGAAGATTCAATATATATAGCATGAGGTATTTTTTTTTTATTAAAAAAACAAAACAAAACTTGGAATTACATGGATTATTTCAATCACTGTTTTCATAAATTCCCATTAACTGTTAAATTCAATCTCTCTTTTAATTTTTTTTATTAACCCAGTAATAATATTAACAAATACTAAAATTCCCATTTCGCCTTAGTACTTTTTAACTTTTTCTTACCTGTATTTCACAGTTAAAGCGAAATGGGAACATATAGCCTGAAATTCTGGGTCATTTTAAAGAGATTCTTAGGATTTAATGATAATCATGAAATTATGAAGTCATGATACATTTGGACTAGAGAGAAAAATAAATAATTTTTAAAAGAAATGCCATCTATCACCTATGCATTGTCTGAGTGAAATTTAATGTATTTTCAAATAAAGCGAAGCAATTGTACGTTCCAGACATTCACAGAGCCTAAAATAGGTCCTTATAAGAGAACATTGCTCTTTGACAAATTGATTTCATAACTTCAACAACAAAAAAATGATTCACTAAAGTGATAATTTTGAAATTTTGATTTACATGTACTGTAGCTGCAGTTCTGTAGCGTTATGGTTTTATATATTAATTTTGTCTTTGACCATAACGCTACAGATCCCGTAATGCAAAAAAGTGCAATTTATGGCGCAATATTTTTTGCGCAATTTTGGGGAGAATTTCTCCACTTTCTAGCATTTGTCAATCAACTACCTCTCACTCCCTAATTCTAGACACATTTTGTAGGCAATATATGAATGTTTTATCCACCTCCCAACCATTTATAGCTGTCTCTAAAGTCAATAAACTCGCTTGAAGTGAATTTTCAGCAATCTAACAAATAATATTTTATCAAGCGAGTTTATCACTTGCAGAGACTACTATAAAGGCTTGGGAGATGGATAAAATATACAGATTTGTCAAATAATGTGCCTAGAACTAGGGAGTGAAAGGTAGTTAATTGACCGATGCTGGAAAGTGGAGAAATTCTCCCCAAAAGTGCGCAAGAAATATTGCGCCTTAAATTGCACCTTTTTTGCATTACGGGATCTGTAGCGTTATGATCAAAGACTATATATACTAGATATAAAACCATAACGCTACAGATGTACTTTAGTGAAAATTTTTCGACGCTCTGATTTAATAACTTCCTATATACTATAATATTAACATTTCCAATGTCTTTGTCCGAGATAAAATTACCAAATGTAAATGTACTTTATTTCTCCATCAATGTATTGGCGCGGTTCCAAAAAAAAAACCACGTGCAGGGTGGGACAAACAGCTAGACAGAAGCAGGGCTTGGAGCACGTGGATTGGCGGAATCAAAGCATGTAAATATAAGGAATAACTGTCAGATTTTTCAATTTCATGAAGATGATCAATCGATAGGCTTGCGTGATAATTTTATGCATAAACGCCTTCGGCGTTTATGCAAATTATCACGCAAGCCAATCGATTGATCACTTCATGACAGTTATTCCTTAAGTAAATGATAGTTACATGTAATTATAGTTTCGTTACTGGTTGTTGTTGTTGTTGTTTTGAATACGTAAGGTGGCAAATAATTTTTTTTTTTAATTCTCTAATGAAGTAAATAAAAAATGTTTTATTGTTAACATCACAAACGTCATTATTTAATGTTTATCCATTTGTATGATTATTAGTTATATACTATAATAGTTGAAAGTTGCTTCATTCATTAAGTGATTGATACCGTATTTAAAACATACACCAATCCTATATGTTCTAAATTCTTCGAAGAGCTTATGATATAGGAGTGTTGTGATTTTAGGTGTAAACATCCTTCTTAAACTACTTTTTAAAGTGATATAGATAAAACTTGATTTATTTCTAACAATCCAGAAGAGAGTGATATTGATCTAGTGCCTTTGACCCTGTTTATTTAATTTACGTTTTAAATGTATAAATATTATGAAAACATGTAAAAGCCCCGTTTATCTTTCCGGATTTCGATAAGTTGTTCGTGACACATAAGAGTGATAGTTTTGTGTTTCGTCTTCGTCGCAAAGACGTTTTACTTGTATTCCGTGTTGAATGTATTTCTGAAGTTGGAAATCTACATTGAATGTCAAAAAAATGAACATCGCTGGTAACTTTGATCGAGACAAGGAAAGGGCACTGACAGGTGTAGATTTGAGCAGAAAAGGATCGATTGACGCTAGAATCCAATCGTTAGTCTCAGTCTTGAATGCATCAACCGATTTCTTCACAACGAGTTCATGTTCTGGAAGAATAATTATTTTTGGTGATGTGAGTGAGTACTAATACTAGTTCTAATATGTTTTACGGTGTGACCGTTGGGGCGAGCGCAGTTGAAAAACACTCTAAAGATCAGCCACTTCAAACATCAAGCTGCACGAGACATCTCGACTAGCTGTGACGTCACACGACGTCACAGAGCTCGTCGGAGCTTACAGAGATAGCCGAGCGTCTGGTTGCAACGATAGACCTAGTGCAATTTTGGTCGAAAAACATTGCAGAGTTCTTTATTGTTTCTTTAAAAGATTTCTGCAAACTGAAAGCCGTTTATGCTTTACGTTATTATTTAAAGACATTGGGTAGTGCAGGAATTCTGGGAATGTTTCACAGAGAAATTTGCCTGACATATGTACAAAAATCCGAATTTCCTCTGTTCATACACATTAGTCTATTGAACTCGCTTTGCGAGCATCGCTTTGTGACGCTCGCTGCGCTCGCTACTAACTACTACATAATTCTTGGCACGGCCATGCCTGCAGTTGTTTTCCTTCTTACTTTCTTTCCTAGATAAATCTTAATTCAGGTAATTGTAGATAGCTTAACCTAGAAGTAGTTAGAATCATCTGTGTCTCTGGACAATTAAGCCCTCAACAGTGTCACCACAGTTAGAATACCATACGTCCTATATACAGATTTGAATCCTCTCCAAAATGACTTTGAAGAAAACAAAAGAAATTAAGCCGAAAATAACTATACACCAAATTAATCATAAACAAACCTTTTTGGAGATTTTATATGCCTTTTATCTCACATCTTCGCTAGCCAAGGGTTTCTGATATGCTACTCTCCTCATAATCCCTTGGCATACGGTGTTGATAGAAGTTGTTTTTTTTTTCTCGAGTTCTGATTGGGATTTGGTACACCCGGTCGACCAATCAGCAATTGTTTTTGTATATGACGATATTTGAGTTTGGGATACTTCTTGACTCTTTTAATCTCGTAAATGAAAAACGCAAGTAAACAACGATCTGTAAGACAACATGCAATTCTATGAATAGGTATGGTGTCATCCAATATCTTCTAAATATATGATTAAGAATCTATATGGAAGCTTCAGATTTGTACTACATGTATAAATAATAAATAAACATAACTCAATCATTGCTTCTTAATTATTCTTGAAAAAAACTTTGATTTAATTTTTAAAACACGCGACATTATTTCTGTCGATGACGCAATCTGTGTGTACCTGATAGATTCAAGATCACGTGAAGAAAACAATCCTGTGTTTTTACTTCACCGTATGCCAAGGGTTCAAGAGGAAAGTAGCATATCAGAAACCATTGGCTAGCTAAGATGTTTATCTAAAAAAATAATCAATATAAAGAGAAAATTCAACTTGTTTTTTTTACGTTTTTTTCTCTCTTCAAATTTACCTGCCATGTTTACAGTCAGGCCTCTCTAGATTATTCGTAGTAAATGCACTGAGTCTAAGTTATCACTCATGTTTATTTTGTACGTTGCAAATACACAGAATAAATTCTATTTTTAAACTGGGTACATAGGACAATATCATTTTTACGTTGAAGGATATGGAGATAATTAACGAACAGTATTCAATATCAAAGCCCATTAAACAATACAAAAATAGGAGCAGAGCAAATATCAGAGGTGGGATCAGGTGTAATGGAGGAGTGAGCATCCCCTGCCGACCGGTCACACCCGCCGTGTGCTCCTTGTCAATATTTGGAAATAACGGAAAAAATCCATCGTCAATTCAGTGCATAAATAATGGACTAACAATTAGTATGAAAAACATCGGTCAGCATTTGACTAAGTGATAAATTGTATTTGCTGACAAAGTCATTGTATCGACCAATAGAACTTAAAAAATTATGACTTTAAAAGAGACTGTTGATATTCTTGTTTCATCTACTTGTTTGTCAATAATAAATCTCATTTTAGAAATTGTTATACTGAGAAATATAAACTCCTTATCAGGTGATGAGGGTATATTGCTGCATAAGTAAGGGAAGTTGACGATAAAACATTCTATCTAGTAGCAACCCCCCCCCCCCCCCACTTAGAATGATTTAAATGTGTCTTGGGACAAGGCCTCACCACAGTTAGAGTGCCTCCCATATATACTCTCAATGTAGCAAAAAATTACAGAATCGCTCCAACAAGATTTGGAAAAGCACAAAAGGATTTCAACTAGAAATAACTACCAAATTAATGTTTAACAAACCTTTTTGAGGCTGTGTTTGCCTTTTAACAACATATTTTCTCAATAGTTTTGAAAGGGATAAGCACCACCCTTTTGTTGGTTAACTTTGTTTATATTTTCCTCCCTCTCTCATCTGTATGGGTTAATTATGAAACTGAATTTAATGTGTATTTACTAGGGATGTACAATTTTATTGAAATACCGGTTTATTGTGATTTTTGATTGCATAATAGGTTTTGAGATACAGAGTCTAAAAATACCAATATTTAGGTACATGACTTTAAATTCGAAAAATTCTCCTGTATTTGTTCAAACACGTGTAATTTTGGAAACAAAATTTAACACTGCAAGCTACTTTAACATGTTTAAAGGGGCTGGGGGGTTGTGGCCATTTTCAGGCTATTTTGACCTCCTTTAGAAGAAGAGCTCCATATAAATATATACAAAAATGATCAAATTTTAAAACTTCAATGTATGAATTTTTTCTTTGCCAAAATAATGATAGTTGACAGCATAAGATATAGTATCTAAAAAAAATAAGTTAAATCTGGTGGTTAATTTGTGGTTAATTTGTTGACCCCCCAGCTTCCTTAATATTACATTTATATGGATTTTAAAGAACATCACAATTATGCAAGATTTTGTATTTTACTTCTAGAATAAAGAAGGAAGTAAGTCTGTGAAAAAGAAAGGTTGTCAGTGGTTGTACACAACACATGATGAAGCAGTATATAATGCAGCTGTGAGTACTACATGTATTTATTGGCATCTTGTACAAAGAAATTAAGTTTGTTACAAACTTGGCAACTGAACATTTTCATTCTCTAAACATTGTAAGAAAAAAAACTTTGTAATTAATTAATGTATCATATTGACCGCCTCTACATTTTAATCTGTTTACATTTCATTACATAATAAAATATATTCAAATCAAATCAAATTAATGTAATAATATTTTGGATTTTTTATTGCTTTATTTTGAAGCTTTTTTCCATATCTATATATACAAAACACATAGCAAACAATTTCCACCCACTCACCACCACAATTACACACACTCACACAGTGCACTTTCTATTTAAGTTAAATAATAAATATACATAAATGTAAACATATGACAGTTAATCATACAATTTATCAAAAAACAAAACAGATGTACCAAAATGTGTATATATAAAGAAAATACAATTTTGATTTTTCATCACTTGTTGTACACATTATCATACAGGGCCCATTTACTGAATATTTGTCCTTACGTTGAAAAACTTTTCTTTTTTTTTTTTTACAACTGTTAATCAAAAACATTAAATACAAAATATTTGTTTATAGTCATCAAATTCTGTTTTTTGTTATGGATTTGATTATTTGTCAATTTCCAGTTGGAGAGCCTTCAGAACTTGACAGGCGATTCAGTGTTGAAGTTTGAACCATTTGTGTTACATGTCCAATGCAGATCTCTTAGTAATGCTCAGTCAATGGCAAGTATCCAATTTGTGAAAAAAGTATGACAATTCAATCTTGTCTTCAGCAATTTATTTCTACCTCAATCTTTTAATTAGCCCATAATAAGTGAAAACGTACTTGAGACACCTATAGAGTATTTTTTATGTTGACCTATAAATTTCTTGGTTACAGCTAAGTTGTGCAGTGGCATCGGGATTCAGGAACTCTGGTATAAGTATTGGAAACAAAGGAAAGATAATTGTGGTAAGTCAAGGTACAGACAACAAAAGGGTGTTGAATGGAAAACTTGTGTAAATTGAAAAATGGAGAGAAAGGTTAGTTTTGCAGATGAAAATTTTTGTAATTTTATTATTTTATATGAATTTATATGGGTATGTCATATTTACTGATATAATATGAAATTAAGATTTTAGACTTTAATAATTGGCAATTTGAGATTTGCAAATAGCAGCTTGTGGAAATTGAAGACTTCATTTTGATATTTTAGATTGTATTATATTGACAATGGTCTGTTGAATATTTTGGTGATATCTTTACAGGCTGTGAGAAGTACACATGGACTTGAAGTTCCTCTCTCTCAAGATGGAGAACTACTCGTTACAAATAAGGTTATTCAGCTATATTCTTTTTATGCTTTCTTTGATGATTGTTAAGAAAAGAGGTTACTTAGATCATTATTTATTTTAAAACAGTATGGGGAATGTTAAAATTAATTGTGGTGATATTGCTAAATTTCCACAGAACAACTTTAAGTATATAATACCAAGTCCTACCCAGAAAATTTTTAGCTTGTTACAACTGTCATATTGATAATTTTTTTGAGTTGGCTCGCGTAGCGAGCTACTCCCTGTCGACATAGCCGTTTCAGAGCTGTAAATTTTTTCACGCATTCATCAAGGTGATCCATACGCCAAATGTAATAGTTCTAGCAAAAAATGCTTTGGTTTGAGTGATTGAATAAACTTAAGAGGTAAAAACTGTATAAAATTTCATGCTGTAGCATTATTTATGCCTTCATGCTTTTAAAGAAATTTTTGATTAAATACCTGTACGATGTACAATTACTGCGTATGAATATATGTTCAAGCATGTTAGGCGGATCTAATCTTCCCATCTGAAGTTTATTTATAATTGACCTAGAATACTCCCTAACACAAACACCTGCTGCTCTCATTAGCTGCAACTAGTTGTCGTTGAACATCTATTTTTAGAATCCAGATTTGCTGTGGGAAATTGGGAATCTTTAACCTAATTATTCCATAACACTGACCACTTCAGCTAGTGTGCTTAAATTCATTATAGAATCCAGCCAAAATAATACGGAAGCCCATTAGTGCCAACCTGTATATATAAAGGAAAAGCAATATACACTTTATTTATGAACCGAACATGGATCAGACATATAATATTCAATCTCTTAAGATGCAAAATAAACTGAATATATTAAGGTATGGTGCCCAGATGTATGAAAAAGCTCAATTGACTCGAGCGAGTCAACTCGCAGGCCTTTCAGGCCTTTGATTTACTATATTCAACATCAATAATTTAACATATAGGTATTTTAATAATCATGTTAGAAGCAAAGAAAGATATAATTTAAAATATTTGTACTGACAGAGGGTAAAATATTTTAATTCTTTTTGTCAGTGTCCTTGTCAGTGGTAACTAAGTTTCAAACATTTGAGAAAAAAAAGGAATTGGAATACTGACTGAAATGACTTTGTATTTTATCGATGTTAACACTATATTACAGTACATAGAAAAACTCATTGAAATCGCCAACACAAAGATCCAAGAAAATTTCTTAAGAATAGACAGGTAAGAATATCAGTATGACACAAAAGTGAACCAAAATGTTCTTTTATTTCTTTTCTTTTTTTTTTTTAATTATTTAATTATTTTCCCTCTCTGTGGTTTTTAGATTCTACCAGAATGTCATTTCACTGATAGAAACATTAAAACATGATCATATTAGTGCAAACGTTGTAAATAAACCAAATATGATCAAAAAGAAAAGAAAGAAGTGTGAGAAAATGGAAAGCAGACAAAGTGATGAAAAGGAAAAAGTTTTTTCGGTAAAGGAAAATTCACAATCTGAAGAGTCAAGTGAAAATATCTGTGAAGATTTGTCAAAATGTTCACTCTTTGAAAGTGTGACCTGAGGGAACAAAAAGTTGCAATAAATATTAGTAAGTAAAATTTGTCTATATATTATTATTCATACCAGAAATTGATAATTTTGAAGATATCACTCTTATGTTGACTTTGAAAAATAGTTGAAACTGAATGAACATTAATTATGAGTGTTCATGAATGTTCCAATTTATTTAAGTTAAGTATGAAAAACTCAGAAAAACAATTGATCAGGCTTTTCTTTAATGAGTGCTACAGAGTGCAAAAGTAGGTCAGAGTCTTCTCATTTTTCCGTTTTGCTTTCTTTTCACTTCTGGTTTTCCAAATATGCAGAATGTACTTCAATTTTTTTTTTTTTTTTTTTTGCATTTTAACTCTGTATTCAAATGCAGCTGGCTTTCATTAGCATGATGTACTGAAAAAGTCTCAATATAACACATTAGTCATTGAGTTAAGTGTAAATATTTACCTCTCTACCACACGGAAGAGAAGTCAGAAAGAAGACATGTTTATGAATTGATTTTTAGCAAGTCTGTGCCAACAGATACATGTATATTTGTATTATTGAACCTCTTAAAAGTCAGATGTTCTCTATATATGTATTGTATGAAATATTCTGAACTTGTACTTGAGAAAAGAAACGGCACCTAATCAATGTTTACTATTGACATTGCAAAGATTAAAGTAAAAGCCCTTTTTACCAGAATAATGGTCCAAGTTCAATGACCTTCATGTACTTTGAACCTGTATCAAGGAGTCAGAATCAATTGTATTTCATATTTGTGATAAAACACATGAAAATACAAATAAATTCTTGAATTTTGAAAATTTTATCGTCTTTGCTTCTCGGTATTCAATCTAAGACATATTGTAACATATACTAAATTCAAATTCATGTATATTGAAAAAAAATCTGAAAGTGGTTTTATTTGTTTCCCGTGCCATTGAAATGTTTTAATGCTTGTAAGTTAATCAGAAGTAGGCCACAAGTTAAATTTTCTTTAAAAAAAACTATATATCTGGATAATTTATTTTAATTCTTTTCATCAAGTTAAGTTTTCTTTAAAAAATATATCTGGATAATTAATTTTCATCCTTTCACTTTCCCAAGATAGAACCATTTGTCTTTCCGTTAATGAGAACAAATAGTTAAATACCTCTATGAAATGATGGAACAAAATCTTTTCCTTTAGGGATGCGAAACTAGAGCAATGCATACCCCCGGTATTTGATACTACTGTAATTTTTTTTTCCAGAACCATGTGGCAAGGACTGACAATTAAAAGTTGTTTGTGTTTATTTTTTTTTCTCTTACAGTAGTGCTTAGTATTTATATTTAAATGTAAAATTATAAAAGAAAATACCATGTGGCCATGCATCCTCACAATGTCAAAGTTTTGTGTTACAGAGCATATTATTTTACGATTGTAATGAGGTTGATCTTCCAAAAATTAATTCTCGACGTCTTATTTAAAGTAACTAGTCATAGATCCGATATTATAAACACTTTCCATTTTAAAGACGAGTTATATTTTTTTTTTACAATGAAAGCTATTTTCTTATTGATTCCAATCCTAGACCAGGAATAAATGAAATAGTAGCTTTCTAGCTCAACTGTTAAATACATGTAGCGACTTATGTAAAGGGTTTTTGTGGAGTTCTGAAATCACAAAACCTTTACATCCTGAGGATGCCATGTAGCAAGGGCTGACAAATAATAGTTGTTTGTGTTTTTTCTGAAACATTAGTGCTTAAATATATAATTATTTGTTCTCAAATATTCCAGAGATAATTTTGATATTTAATTTTTTCCATTAATGTTTCTTCATGTGGCCCATCTAAAGGAGTCCCTTTTAAAGATCAAACTGTTTGCTTATGTAACGAATGTTTAAGTATATTAATTTTTTTTTATACAAATGTGAAGTTAAGAACTAAGAATAAAAACTATGTAGTTCGCAGGCTCAATTTTTCAAAAATCACCATCAAAAATACGGTTAAGGCAGTTGTATTCGAATTTTATTGTGCAAATTCGTGTTGAGCATCATGAAATGTAATGGTTGATGACCAATGTTAATGTTAATTGTACTAATCACAAAGCACTGCTATAGAAAAAACAGGAGGCATAATTTGTTATACCAAAAGTTATAGAATTCAAGATAATAATTTCCATGACATAAATAAAGGGTGTTTATTATTTAAGTTTTTTTTTTCTTCTTGAGGGAAAATATCAGGAGAGAGCGATGAATACTTCTACGCAGTCGATTGTAGAATAAAGCATTTTTTATGTCCATTGGTTTTATTGAATGTCTTTTGGTGTCTTTGGAATGAATCCGGCATCAGGCCAGAATAAAAACTTTGATGCTTCCAATTCTCGTTTGATGGCCGATTTCTGTGTTTATTGATCCGGGTACTCTCTGTTTTAATGGTAACCAATGCTTGGATCCTGTTGGATCCAGCTACTGTGAACAACCCCGCGGGTATTTTATTGATCATCAAATCGTCATTTTCTCCAATAAAGGTTACAGGCGATTCCAAATCAAACATGCTGGCTTTTGTACCCAAGATTCATTCGGTATTTTAGAGGCCAACCTCTAATGATTTTCAATATCGAATTTTACACCGTTTGCGTCATTTTGCGACTCAGTATAAAGTATCAGCCTAAAGGATAGACACTCTTGTATTATTTACCTTTATCAGATACATTAAGGAGACAAACGATGGGAAGTCAATCTCGGAATTAAAGCTATGGTGTCCTGTTGTCTGTCACGCTTTGCTCTCCCAGTTCTGTATGAAGCCTCCTCTTTCTCCCCTTCTTGTTTTCCTACCCGAGTAAACGGCTAAACATTTCAGCAGTGGAACGAATCAATCAATTTAAAGATCATTCGATAATAAGACAAAGAAAAATTCAAAAAGAAATTCTATTTTAATTTTTTTTATCAATAAATAAAAATGTAGGCCACGTTTATTTCTGATATGCAAAGAGTTTAATTGATATTCTGTGTTTTGATAGTAAAGTAATTGCAAATCAATTGGTTGGATTCTTTTCATTTTCATCAAAATATTGGAGCATTATTGATACATGATATTCTAAAGTATCGTCTTTTTATTTTAAACGAATGGATATATTGTAACTTAAAATCAGAATGCTATTCCTAGTGCAAAAACCTCTGACTTAAAATTGGATCTTTCACTTCAAGTTAGATTAAAATTGCAAAAATATATATTTATGAACTTCACAAGAAGTGCTTTTATTAATTGTTAGGGTAGAAATGCCATATGTTTTAATTATTGAATGACGATGTTGTGTCTAGCGCGCTTATATGCCTACGTGACAAGTCTGTGTGATTTACACACCAATAACTCACACAAAACTTTTAAAAAAATTCCTTAAATATTAAAGCTCAAAAGTCCATTAACAATACAAATGTTGTAGCAGAACAACTGCGGACTCTAAACCATAAGAGGTGGGATCAGGTGCCGTGGAGGAGTGAGCATCCCCTGCCGTCCTGTTACACCCGCCGTGTGCTCCTTGTCATGATCGGGAAGTAAAGAAAAATCCTTCTACAATTGAGTGTGTAAATAACGAGCGAACAGTTGGTATGAAAAACGTTAGTCAGTATTTGACTTAATAATAGATTGTACCTGGTCATTTTAGCGAGCAGAAAACATATAAAATGATTACTTTAAACGAGACTGTTTATATTCTTGTTTCATATATCAGTATATGAACCCTGTATGCAGGGAATGAAGGTATATTGTTGTATAAGTAAGGCAGTTAACGATTTAAAAGTTCGAGATATCATGTTTATAATAGAATTTGGTTGTTAGATTACCATTTAATTGTTGTGCAAAAGTAAAATGCCAAATGCACATAATGTTATGTCATATATTTAGTTTGTTCGTTATGCAAAGTAATCATTTTGAATTTTAGAAAATAATACTGAATACAAGTAACAGCTTTTTAAGAAGCTTGCCTGAATTAATCAATCAATATCTGCATGAGGAGTGATAAACCTGTTGAGAAATACCGTGGGTTTAAAATATTTCCTTACTTTATATTTTGAGAACCTTATATAAATGGAATCTTGATTTTATTTAACTTTTAGAAGAATCATCTCTACACTGCATACTAAAGAGTTGGTATTCTGTAGGGGTTTTCTGAAAGTAGAGTGATCTGCCCTTCGATCTAAATTGATTTCGAGCTTCATTGTAACATCTGTTGTAAAATCTGTTACCAAATCATGCATTATCAACATTTTAAAAGATGGATATAATGAAATACACATTTTGTTGGAGTGTATTTTCTCCACTGAAGTAAACAGTAGTAATGTGTGTTCATTAATTTTTTTCTTAAAAAGGAGGGGGGTAGAGCCACTATCATATATTGAGAATGAAATAGGTAAATTCAATACTTAGGCCTTTGTGGAAATAAAAATCCCAGATTTGCACTTGTTTCTTATATATTGTGTGCATCAGAAGAGAGACGCGTAATAGATGATGCATCTGGAGACAATGACTTGTTGAACTGCGTTGTTTATTATCATTGGACTAGTCCATTTATGGAATAAACCAACCGCGGGATCGGGAAACAAATTGGAAAAATCATTTCTTTAGTGTTGCATGTCCGCATACTAATATACCGTATAAGTGGAAATTTTAGCGAGACGCAAATTAAGCGATTTGTCCTTAAAAACTGGTAATGATGTAATTTAAGCGATTTTAAAATGCTCATTTAAGAACCTATTACAATTAAAACGCAATAAATTTTTAGCTCTATGTAATTTTAGCGATCTCAGCGCCCTCGCTAAAAATGCCAAAATTAAATCCTCGCTAAAATTTCTACTTATACGGTATTATACGATATGTTGTTTAAAAGAATGAGATAAAACATTAACTTTTAGAGAGAATTTCTGAAGCATTAGAATGAGGTTAAAAGAATAAACTTTATTTAAGTCCATGGAAGTTGCTAGCACACCCATTCATACAATAGAACAATCCAAGGAAAAGGCGCGAGGAAAGCAGTGACATTTGGCGCGAAAAGAGCGATTCACCCCTTTCGT